AATAAATAAAACCTACATGATTATATAGGTTTACCATGCTAAATTAAGAATATCGGGGTCTGATAATCTATGGGACGGTGGTGTGGTCATAATCCAGTGATCAAGTTTCCGATAATCGCATTATTTTCAAAGTTTTTATATGCATTATTCACTTTTTTACATTACTCATACTATGCATGAATACACATCAAATGTCTATTGAGTTTGTATAGAGTTTTATACGAGTATCGAAAACTTGACCACTGGATTATGACCAGACCACCTTCCCATAGATTATCGGACCCCGATATTCTTAATTTAGCATGGTTAAACTATATAATCATGTAGGTTTTAATTTAATAAGAGTTGTACAGCGAGTGACACCCCATAGTAAGTGAATACATCCCTATTCCTAAGTTCCTACTCTATGGTCTCCTAAGAGCTTATGCCTTCGCTCCCTAAGAGTGTCAGCCGATGGACACCACACGACAACACCTCAATTAGTCAGTTAATCATTGTCTGTCTGTCATTAAAGCTTTGGGTGTCATCCGCCTAAGGTTCCACTGATTTGGCGCTGCGGTCGCACATAGTCTTTGAGGGGCCACTCGACCCAACAGTCGGTAGCGAACAGCGATCTCATATGTTCGGGTCACCCAAATGGACTAAAAACATAAAACGTCCAAACTTTAATAACTAACTGACCAATGGTCATTTGACTTAATTTAGGATATGATAGTTTAGGTTCGGTTAGGACACGTCTATTCTACAAATCAAATTAAAAATGTCCATTGGTCAGTTAGTTATTTGAGTTTAGGCCTTTTCGGTTTTAAGCCTTTTGGGGCAGAACTGTAAAAAAGAATCATCATGCACATTTCAATTTAATTGGTTAAATTAGGTTAGGTTGCGAGGCTCGGAATATTACGGATAATAAAAATGTTCAAAAGACGACAAATAACATGAAAACAGAGCATTACATTTTATTTTATGTGATATAAAATTAATATTACAGTAACAATTAATAAAACTCACGAATGCACTGTTATTTTTGTATTCACTGGCAATATGTTAGTTTTAAAAAATAAAATATTATATTTTATTTATATTATATATAGTATAGTAGACATAATATTATATATATATATATATATATATATATATATATATAGTTAGTGTATGTCTTGAGTGAGTGACTCGTTCTTTGACTCGATTTCACATTTATTTTAGGATTTCTTGAACTCTACTCTAAACTCATGCAAAGTCTCGTGTATTTGAATTGAATTCTTTTGAAATTGTCGCCAATTCTCTTAAATTGTAAATTTACAAAATATACTCATTATGTCTTAATTATTTCATGTCAAATATGTCCATCACATCACATGTCTGTCCACAATATGCATTCATTGTGTGGTATTGCCTCTGATTGGGAGTGTATTTCATTGAATGCTTCGAATACAAGGCTATTTGGGATCGAAATGCAAGTATTGGACCAAATATTTACAACTTTGAAACTTTGAATTCATGTTTACTCGATACAATTGACACAATTATTGTCAAATAATAAACAAATGACAGGTACTCATATTGTAAACTACTTTTGAAACAATTGCATTACTTCAAAAAATAACACACTGTAGTATACCGTAGTATACCGTAGTATATATTATTATACTTATAGAGAATTACAGTATACAGTATAGTACTACAGTATTATTATATTGAATATAATTTTAAAACAATAAAATGTGTGAAAAAGGGAATCGTTTCACACAAATCACACCCAAATTTGGTGTCGGATTTAGTTGTGTTTTGCAAGTGATTGCAAACATTGAAAACAATTACATTTGTATTGCGTTTAAAATCTTGTAATTATTTGCCTCAATAGCCAACTATTTGTAGACTAAAGTAAAGCAACTCTACTATACTATTGATAGCCTTAAGTTAAACGTGATGTCAATCTTTCACTTTATAATCCAATATAAGGCCAATAATTAGCGTTTCATACGAAGCCAACAGTTTAACAGTGTGTTCACAGTTTGTGTGTTTAATTAGTTGTACAATCAATACATACGTAACTAAACTGTGGACCACTTTTCGAGCCATGAGTCGCCTATTTTATGTCAAACAATGATTTGTGAAAATTAAAACTTTGAACATTTCAAAAACAACTTTTACTTTCTCCACTTGTCTCAGCCCTACTCTGCAACCATTTCTATGAATCAAATGAATGCATTTGTAATAAACCAATGAATGTGTGAAACTGACACTCAGTTTGTGGCAAAATGCTGGACCTATTCTCGGGACTCAAGCGGATCATAAAGAGACGTCAGATCCATATCGATAACGCAGTCTTTCGTCTCCATTGGCTCTTGACTTCAATCGTTTTGATCGCCTTCTCTGCTGTCATTACTGCCCGACAATACGGTTAGTGTCCACACATTCACGCCATATGTACGCTAATATAACATGACCTGCAATCCTCTCTGGGCCTCATTTTATTCCTGCTTTTCTACACATACATCATATTATCCTTTATAATTGAACCAGGCACAATAATATTATTGCTTTCATTTATTTGCTAAAACAATATTATGGACTGTACTTATTATGAATTTATGAATCACAGTAATATTCATATTGTACTACAATAAGTAAAAACCATGCAGCATTCAAACAATCTTTATATCTTTTATATACTCGGTAATTTTATTTTCCTAGATGCATTAATTCTGTTCATATTAGTAATTAATCAGTGTTTGTGATGCATTAACCTAACCTAATTTGTGTTTTTAATTAGTTTAATAGTTTAAATTCTGTATAGGAAATAATCTTATTTATTATACGTATCTATGACATAAATATTAAAGAGATCTTGCTTCTCAGCTTTAATATATGAATCAAAAATTCAAAGAGTAGCTTATGTATGAAACTAAAAAAAGTATTGGTTTTCACATTGCTTGCATTAACACAATCAACTAATGACTAAACTCCTGTGCAAATTGTATATTAAATGTGAAAACCAATGCATTACTTGCATTACAATGCAATACATAAGCTACTCTTTGAATTTTTGATTCATATATTTAACAATATTGTTTAACATTATAAATTTAATGTTAAAGCAGATTTAAGCGTTTTCCTTCGTATTCCTACCACAGATATCCCATTTAAGTTATTTATCTAAAATGTTGAAAGTTACTATTGTATGCCGTATTATTATGAAACCAATAATATTAATTGATTTGTTTCATTGATTTGTTTCATTTATTTGATTGATTAGTTGGTCAACCAATTGATTGTCTCATTGAATCCAATCAAATCCCGGAGACAATGATTAATACGTAAGTATTTATACTTAATGTTTGTTTGTTGTCCAATACTATTGAATTGTGTTAACCAAACTGTTATAATTAACTGATACAGTACTGTTCGTATATTACAGGTATATTTTATATAAAACAAAACTTACTACAGTATTAATAATAAACTTATCATACATGATAAATTTAATAAAATATTAAAAATGATTTACGCCAAATTGTTAATTAATTGGTGAATAATATTGACAATATAATTATATTGACCCTTTCATACAGGTACTGTTGGATATCGCAAACATTTCTAATACCGTCGGCATTCAGCAAACGTGTTGGGGTAGAGGTTCCCCATCCAGGAGTAGACAACTCAAGAAACCTAACACTCAATGATCGCAAATATTACGCGTATTACCAATGGGTCTGTTTTGTGCTCTTCATCCAAGGCGTACTCTTCTATGTAAATGCAATCAAATCTATTATTATATCAATATATATTGCAATTATTATATCATTATTGAAAATAATGTTCACTATCTTATCTTACATGTGACCTGGTCATAAGGTCCCCTACTATTTGTGGAAAGTATGGGAGGGAGGGCTCATGAAATCCATTACAATGGGAATGCAAATCGCTATACTCGCTGATGAGGTCGGTATGCCTTCAGTAGTGTTCATTAGTGTCCACTCATTTGCAGTCATTTATTAAATTGAATTTATTGTCGAAACCCATAGGAGAGGGGATATAAGAAGAAACTTCTCATTGAATACCTGTACCGTCACCTCAAACTTCATCACTACTATGCCTTCAAATACTTCTTTTGCGAGATTTTGTGTCTTATTAATATCATCGGACAAATGTATTTGACGGACAGGTTCTTCGACGGAGAGTTCATGTCTTACGGCCTAAATGTCATCAGTTATACTCAAAAAGAAGTCAAACAAAGAGCCGACCCAATGGTCTATATATTCCCACGAATGACGAAATGCACGTTTCATTTCTATGGCTCTTCCGGCGACGTCCAGAAAAAGGACGCCTTATGTCTCCTTCCGCTGTTAGTACAGTATATATCCCTTAATCCCTGTCCACTCTGTCAATTTTTTTCATTTTTATGTTACAATTATACAGTATTCTTTATTTAAATCAATTATTAATCTGATCAAGTCAATCTCCGCTATATTACATTGTTATAGTAATACTGCATAGTATTGCATAGTAAGACTGCATAGCCTAGTTGATACAGTATATTGAATACCATATATTGCATTTTATTCATTAATTTCTAATTCAAATCATTATATAATGACAGAAATGTTGTCAACGAAAAGATTTATATATTCATATGGTTTTGGTTTGTGATCCTATCGATCATCACGTTTTTGGTGATCATATCGCGACTCTTCATATTCTTTTCGGTGTCCATTCGGTCGCGTATTCTCAAGACTCGGTGTCGGTTCTCAAACTCCAAATACCTGAACATTATTTGCAAATATGGAAACATCGGTGACTTCTTTGTACTGTATTTGTTGGCCAAAAACATTGACCCAATTATAATGCAAGACATTGTCGCAGAAATCGGCAAACGTCTCGAACGCAACGAATTCATCACTCATTTGGCTAATGGAGACACCGATAGAATTAATATGTTATGACCACATCACCACATCACCACATGACCTGGCTCACACAGACTCACACTCCACCTCTCTCTTTACAAGCTTCATTTTCTCTCAAATTGCATTAATTATATCAAACTTAGTTTATCACATCAACTAATATTATATAACATCTGTTTTATATTTTAAATTAATATACAATATATTCATTTAAGAATAAAATATGAACTTGAATAACTTAAGCTTTGTACAAGATTTGTTACAGAATCAAACTATAACTCTATAACTTAGATCCAATTGGAATCACATAAAAATTATGTTACAAGTACTTTGTACTAAACGAAAATCAGTGGTATATTGGCATCTTTGTGGTCAAAATAACGAGTCTCAAGGAATTTGATTTTTTGGATTTGGGAACTCTAGGTTAATTGTATCTCTTGTATTTTTGTTGTAAAAAATTAAGTACCTTTCACGTAAAATTTGTCTAAGAAGGAATTTCTCGATACGGAAAGTTGGGAATGCTAGTTTAATTTGTATGTTCATAAACTTAATTATGTCATTAATAAATGTGCATGGTCAAAAAGTGCGATTGCGGGCGATAAGTTGGTCATTTTATGGTCAGTAAGTTGGCTGACATGGTCATTTTTGAATAGCACTTTATATGACTACATTATATGTATACATTTTCCGAAAAAATTTGCCGCACATTGAGTGCGCACTATACGGTTGAGTGCCGTCCAAACTTTTAGTACATATCGTCTATTCAAATAACGTTAATTCATACAAAAATGACCATGTCAGCCAACTTACTGACCATAAAATGACCAACTTATCGCCCGCAATCGCACTTTTTGACCATGCACATTTATTAATGACATAATTAAGTTTATGAACATACAAATTAAACTAGCATTCCCAACTTTCCGTATCGAGAAATTCCTTCTAAAGTTTAGTTTTTTATTGTCAATAAAATATATCTAGAATATAATTATTCGGTAGAATAATCAAGATTATGTTGTGTAAGCTCGCATTCATTTTATCAAGGTTAGTTTTTTATATACGGTAATTGAATTGCTACAGTATTGATCACATTTTAAATTAAAGTATATAGTTTTTTACAAAGTTAAATTGGGCAGTTATCACAGTAGTTTTCTATTACTATCATAAATTTATTTTTAAAACAGAAAGTATGGACTATAAATTGTTAGAGACCTGACTATTGAATTATCCACTTTAGAAAATCTTCTGTTCATAAAAATAATTAATTCTTGGAGTCTAATTGTAAGTATAAAATATAATATACACTGTACACTGTACACTGTACAGTATATTATAAGTTACAGTACATTACTGTATGTGCTGTCAAAATAGTATAGTTTGGTCTCTTCAATAAAGACACAAAATATTAAATTAAAAGTTTATTGTACTGTACAATACTGTACACATAGTGTACTTCGTGGACAGAATATTGCTTATAAGTTATACATTATTTATAATGATAATAATTTGATGTATTGTGAGTTGAATTGCAAATACAAAACTTACAATTCAATTTGACACATTTGTTTACATATTGTATAATGTATAGAGTATTGTATAGATATCCACTATAACAGCAATAGAATTGAACATACAGTATTGTACATTTTTCTATTTAATCAGCATATTTCATATTTTAAATAATTTATATGTAATTTAATAATTTTAGAGTTAATTTATAATTATAAGATTAATTGATAAATATTTTTAATTCTTCCACTAAAATTTATTTTTTAAACAAAAATTTACGTTAATAAATTATGTAATTAAATATCAGGATTTTTATATCAATTAGGGCTTAATTATTAATTTAAAGTAAATTATTAACGTATCCCTAATAGATTAATTAATTTTAATTAAGTCTCCGACATCTGATTGGGCCTCAAAACGCCGACGGATTTAATTTAGTTTAAGCTCAAAAATATAGTTTCATATAAATTTATTATTGTATCAATACTATAATTACTAGAATATATGTTTCTAATTAATTTTGCGGGGTCAATCAATAAAATTGGCCTCTTAATTGTTGAGAAAATTAACTAATTGTGTGCCCATTATAGTGTTTGTAGGCTTTTTGTATACTGTATCTAACTCATTGGTGGGCTTACCCTGACCATTTCATGTTACTACCGTACATGTATCATATCATATCATAATAGTATCGCGTTCTAAGAATAAGTGAACGACACTGACGTGAGTTCTGTAGAAATTGAATCAAACATTTGTAACTTGAGCATATATCAAATTGTTACCAATAACTATTGTTGATTACCTTAAGTAACCTATAGATATACCCCAACAGTCTCTCCATTTCATGTTTAGTCCTTAAATGTTGACTTTATAATTAAATCTTTAAAATTAAAGAGGGTTAGAGATTTTTAATAAAAATTGATCCATTATAATCTATAATACAGTTGATTTAGATATTTTATATTAAATAGTTTAATATAGTGATGAGAAAGTGGTGATTATATTATTTTACAAATTACAATACAATGTATTAAAATATGCTTACATTACATAATAGTTACAGTAGTCATACAGACATACTGTACATATAGTCAGTCATACAGTGAGATGAGTGTGAACTGCACTCTCGGCTCATCACTGATGAGAAAATACTTGAGTTTTTCATGTTTTCTTAATATAGTGCCACAAATTGGTTGCTATTTGTTATGCTAACACAACTGTATTACTTATGTTATTAATACTGTAATTACTAAACAAATAAATACATGGCTTTATTTGTGGGTCAAATGCAATACATACTCTATTTTAGACTCTATTTAATTCAATAAAGTCTTTGTTTTTGTTTCTTTTCATTTCTTTAAAATAATTGCTTATATTCTGCAATATATTATACCATACAATATAACAGTAATACATATTATGCTTGAGTATGTTTCAGTTTGTTCAATACAATACTCTACTCACAGTCAGTGTACTGTACTGTACTGTACTTTATCAGAATTAGTAAGAATTCTTGATAAACACAAAATAACTCCAAAATGAGTTTTCATTTACTTAATAATTATAGTTACACCATTAGAATTAACCCCAAGAATGTAAACACTGTTTAATTATTTATAATTATGAATTTGTTTTCAATTTGTTTCTTATTGAAAAAGTTTTAATAGTTATAGAAAACTTTAGACTAATTATAATTATGTAATTAAATGTTATTTGAAAAAATCTAAAGAAAAAACTTCATTCAATTTGAATGTTCAATAAGCAATATTTACGATAATTTAATTCAAAATCGATTACAGTATATTGAAATTGTTATAAATCATGTTTGATATTGTGTACTATAAGAGCATATACTGTACGCTACTGTACTGATATACCGTAAATATTCTGTAGTAGAGTACAGTGCAGTTGTATTTATATAATACTGTATATATAGATATAAATCGTTTGTTTGATTTTGTGGTGGAAAAGATGCAAAAATTAGGGAACTTTTTGTGTGATATTTATAAACATTGCTCGCGCCCAAATTATGAGTCGCCTGTTTTATGTACTATGAAATAGGATTGTATGCATTGTATGGCACAGTAATGGCATTTCCACATAAACACATACCGCGAGAGGTCCTCGGCCTGAGACTAAATTTAGGTATTACTCCACTGTTTCACTATTCACTGAACACTACAGTTCTGTACAATTCTGTGCAGATCTGTACAGTCGTCTTGTCCGGGCTTTCACTTCATTTCCAGTACAATACAGTCTGTATACAAGGGATGCTTTTAGAGCACTGCTCTCTGCCTAACCCCTAACCATCACATCATATACTATACTATAGTATACTCTACTCTACTGTACGTACTATTCATCTATTCATTGCAATCAGTAATACAAGACTTGACTACGAATGAAGAGGTGGAGTGCGATCCGGGATGGGATGCCATCAGTGTCTCGAGTATTATGAGTGCAATGAGTGGATGTATGTGCGAAAGATATGGCATATGGAAAGAGATGCCAGGAAGTCATACACTCACTCTTATAACTTACATTTCCTATCATTTCTATTATTTATCAATTATATTAATAGACAAGTGATTCATCACTTCATATGACAATATTCTGTGCTTTCATTTCATTTGAGTCGTTAATTAATTGCTTTTTTCATTATTTGCTATAAACAACTATAATTGAGTCGGTGGACAGCAAATTGTGATTTAATTAAGTGAAAAGTTTTAAATATTATTAAACATCTATTTTATATCACTATTATTTTGTTATTCTCTTTAAAAACTTCTAAACAATTTGATAATCATTTTTGTATGAAGTTATGTGAGAATGAATTAACAAGATGTTGTAATTAAAGTATTATTGAATCAGTCAAACCTTATGGTGAGAATGGAGTGGTGTGTGTGTGCGGCCAAAGTGTGAGTGGTGTGAGGGCGTGAGTGTCACCAGTCGAAGGGAAGGGAAGGGACAAAGTGGCCAAACCATCGACTAAAGGTAGACAATTAACTCAACAGTGATTTAGTGATTGCTTGTATTATTATTATCCATATAATCATTGTACTGATACTCTATGCAAATGTATCGTTCAATTAGAGCGTGTTGTTCGCACTGCAAGACAAGTGGTCCAAAGTAAGAAAGTGTCCAATCAATTGATTTACAGCCCAATCAGTCATATAATAATGTTGGATGTCTTCCGGAGCCTTAAAACTTTACTTAAGACAAGTCGCGTCCAAATTGATAACAATGTGTTTCGATTGCATTACTCCATAACTGTTATCCTATTGTTGGCCTTTTGTGTGATCATTACCACAAAGCAATACGTCGGCGATCCTATCGATTGTGTCCGAAGTGAAGCCATTCCTCAAAGTGTGATCAATACTTATTGCTGGTAAGTATTCATCCATTACTACATTATTATCCATTGTTCACACCTTTTATCATATCTCTGTCCCAATATCTCTGTGCTTTTAATTCCAATCAATGAACTTTATATTTCTGTTGTTGCAATCCAAAGCCAGTACAGTATTATGGTATGGATTACCAATTTGGTACACTTTTTGCAACATTTACTGTATACACTTCTACAATTTGTATATTAAAAATCTTCCAAAAAGTACCAAATTTTTGGTAATCCTTAATACTGGCTTTGGATTCCAACAACAGATTTCAGCTATCATATCTTAGTTAGTACTGTATAGTATACAGTGTATATACTTAAATAATTGTATAAGTTCAACAATTTTGTACAGTACATTCCTGCTTATAACAGATATATAATTCATTGTAATAAATGTATTTGGTAAAAATTATATTGTAATTTACATTTATTCACTTATTAATTAATATATTATATACTGATAGAACTGAATAAAAATGTTAGAATAGTTAATTAATAAAAATAACCTATACAATACTGTATAATATATTAGTACTGTATATCTGTAATGTGTACTGTACATGTATAAGTTATATAACAATATTATTGTGCTACTGTTATAGCGCTCATATAGATGATGTAGATTCTAGAATCTAGAACTTTACTCTTATAGTTACTCTACTTTTGGACATAATTAATAATAGACATGAGTTGCACTACAATCTAAAGAATTGATTGTAAATTAGTTTAATTTTACTAATTCTTGATTTGAAGGATTCACACAACATATACAGTGCCCAAAAGTTATCATAAAGAAGTTGGCGTTGATGTTGTGGCTCCGGGAGTAGACATGGAGTCCAACCCCAAAGAATTTCGATACCATAAATACTATCAATGGGTTTGTTTTGTGCTGTTCTTTCAATCGACTTTGTTTTACATTCCGCGGTGGCTGTGGAAGATGTGGGAGGGCGGCAAAATACAGGCACTTATGATGGACCTCGACGTCGGTGTCTGCTCTGAACAGGAGAAGAAGCAGAAGAAGAAACTACTCGTCGACTACCTGTATAACAGTAGAGGTCATCACGACTGGTATGCCGCCCGCTATCTCTTCTGCGAAGTGCTGGCGTTGGGCAATGTGTTGGCGCAGATGTATATGTTGGACAAGTTCTTCGACGGAGAGTTCCTCACATACGGCATACAAGTCATTCAATTCTCTCAACTGGACCAGGGTATGTGTATGTCTACTGTGCACTCATATATTGCATATATTATATATAATATTATACTTAGATATTATATAAGTATAAGTTGTATGAATTGTATACTCAATTGCTTTGGTTCACTGCAGAGGAACGCATAGATCCAATGATTCGTATATTTCCAAGAGTAACAAAATGTCGTTTTTACAAATATGGGCCGTCGGCTAATATAGAGACCATCGATGCCTTGTGTTTATTGCCATTGAATATCATTAATGAGAAGATCTATATATTCCTATGGTTTTGGTTTCTACTGTTGGCTGCTCTGACAGCTATTGTAATAATGTTTCGTTTAGTGATCATCGCGTGTCCACCGGTTCGGGTATATCTACTGAACCTGCGTTTCCGACTCTCACAACTGGATCACTTGCATACTATTGTGAGACGTATTTCCATCGGAGACTGGTTTCTAGGTTTGCATCACTTTCTTACGAATACTTATTCATATAATTTAGTTACAGTAATATAAACTCAATTCCTGTCCTCCAGTCTATATGTTGGGTCAAAACATCGATAGTGTTATATATCAAGAAGTGATTCAAGATTTGGCCTCAAAAACAGATTCTCAACCCAAAGAGAGCCAGTCGTTGATGTCTACATAATTGGTGATACAGTGATCAATACTATGAACACATTGGGCCAAACGATCCCAGTTTCATGCAAATGACAAATAGCTTACAGTTATAGGACTTGGGTCTGTTGTACAGTACACACTGGTTGGCCTTATTTATAAATAATAGATTTAATGTGCAGATGATTGTGTACTGATATGACTGGTGACCAGAGATGGGCCGTATGTCACTGACCCTACAATTATGAAAGATTATATGAATTTGGGAACAACTCTTCAACTCTTTGGAGAATTTACTCTTTGAATGAATTGCATCTACAGTTCGAGACAACAAATACTGAATGACATTGTGTTGATTTAGTAGACAGTACAGTACAGTACTGTACAGTAAATGGTGAATTTATTTGATATTATTATTATATTATTATACATTGTAAATTATTAACAATTATATCAATTATTTATACTGTTTTCCAAATGTAAAAGATTTCCACTTTTTAAATAATTTGAGAGATTTTATGATTGGTTTTAAGAAATTTGCAAATAAATTGTTATGTTATTTAGTGTATAAACCATATGAAATTATATTATAAATGTAATGTTCGTATAAAAATGGGCGCGTACAAAAGGGTTAAACTTATATTATTATAATAAGTTATAAGTTATATATTTATATATTTATATTAGTTTTGGTGAAGGAATGAGTGGCGCTGTCAGTGCAGTACAGGAGGCAATGAATGGGGAATGGGATGATATGATGGGATGTATGGCATGTATGAGGTATGGGATGTAGGTTTGGAACAACTTTTGCGTAATGCATAACACAATCCGATACTGTGAGCCAAAAGTTTGTAGGATTTTGGACCAAATTATAGAAAAACTATGATATTGTGATGTACTTAAGTTAGAAGTGAGTCTATCCGGTCTAAGGGTTTGCGTGTCTCTTGTCTATGGTGTCGTCGGTGTCTATCACTGTTCAGTTGTAGACATTTAGCTTTGTTTGTGGTCTCTTATACAGCAACAAGAATAACAAGAATCTGATTCTCGTTTGAAATATGCATTTCTATAGCATAACTGTGGCGCTCATCTATTTTGTATCAATTAATTTTGATTACAGTAAGTATTTCTCATACAATCTTATGGGAAACACATAACACATTGAGTAAGATTGGAATTAACATTATTAGTGCTGTATTACTACCGTATTATTCCCACATTAACTTGCATTCCGATCGTATAATATATTATTCTTGACATATAAACATGTTATGAAATAATCAAATAAATGAATAAAGTATTAGTTTAATATAATTGTCAAATGGAGAGTATATTCTCAAAGTAGTCGATAGCTTCTCAAATGCAAGATCATATCAAAGACAACATTTGATTGCATACTCTTATAAGGTTAGAGAAAATAGTGAAAGAAATGCATTTTAAGCGTTCACTTCATGCTTAAATCGTTTTGATGCTAAGTTTAGCCCAAACACTGGTAACACTCCTAACACTCAATGACATAAACATAGACTCTTTTGATTGTCTAAAAATATTCACTTACTCCCAGAAGTAAATCATTTCAATTGTTTTAATAATATGTGTTATATATGTGGTACAATAATGTAATAACTTCCAATAACTACAGTAGCTATTAGATTGTCTACTAGGTTCAATTTATTCAATCTAAGTCTTGTACTTTTACATATCTCTTGTACATTAATTAAATACTGTATATTTTTGAAATATATTATTTATTGCCTTTTTATTTAGAATAAATCTACAAATTTAAGTTTCTAAATAGATATTAGTATTATAATCTATAGTTATTTTATTATATGATTCATTCAAACTCATAAAAACTTACCATATTAAAATGCTATTAATGTAGTTTTGGTATATTTATAGTATTGTATTTGTAAATTCATAAACATTAAAATAAATTCCTAAATGACTCAAATTGTATAATGAATTTTAAATATTGTAAATTTTGAATAAAAAGTTAACTAAATTTTTACAAATAACATATTTATATACTAGTTGTTTTTATTAAAATACAAAACATTACTAATTGAATATTATATTTATGTTATAAATCATATTAGTAAATTGAAATATCTTTCTGATTTCATAAGACAATAGACAACCATTGGATGTAAATTACCTAATCTCACAGAAACAAGCACAATTTCAATATTAATATTAATTTTGTCATATAATAACTTACTAATCTGTTACTGTAGTAGGTTGTAGTTACTGATTATAAAACAGAAAATTAGAGTGCAATTTAAACTTTATGAAATAATTTTTAAAAATAGTTTTAAAAATATGTTGAATTTGAAATGATTAGGGTCATAAAATGTGTACATTGCTACATTGCCACATGCCTACCGAATTATAGACTCAACCTAAATTTTATCTGATTCTTGAAACCACAACCAATAATCGAGTGCTTAATGATCGGGAGTACTCTAATGGCTATCTGTTCAGGTACATGTACACTGTACAGTATGTAAACTCATTTGATTCTCAAAGTGGTCAAAACTAGCCTATAGCATATATGTTATAATGGATATAGGCTAGGTTTTGGCCACTTTGAGAATCAAATGAGTTTACAATATGTACACTGTACATTGTACAGTATGACTGGCCCGAAATGATCCCCGAGTCCAACCAATTAACAATTAGTATACATTTAGAGAAAGCACTCGAATACTGACCACAAACCTCTTCACCAGTCAATTTGAATGAAAACCTAATTGCAACTTAACTGTTTAATGAATGGGTTTGTGTGACCTATCAACATCACACATTGATATAAAATAATATGTAATATTCATGAATACAAAGTTGGTTTGAATTTGTTTGAAAGGACAGGTCGATGGAGTGAATGGCGTGAATGCATTGCAAAGAATGGGACGAAATGATGAAACAAAAGTCAAATGCAAAGAAGTGGTGAATGAAGCGCTCAGACAATACTGGGATCACTCCAATGGTCGGGTATATCATCTCATTTTATATACTCTATACAGTAAAACACAATAAATGTAGTACAGTATTTATCATATTACAATACACAATAAACAAGTTCATTTTAGTAAATTTCATATTATTAATGTAATACTCCTTGTATAACTGACAAATCAATTATAGTAAATTATATGATATTATTAATTAATAATTATCAATAAGCAAATTATGATGTGTTTTAACAGTAAAATAATTTATAAGCTTATTTCTATCTAATGTTATATAAATTTATACTGTAACTTATATAATGTATTGCTTTAATTAGTATATTTAAACAATGAGAATTTTTAATCTCAAATAACGAATAAGACTTACCGCTGTATGCAATATTTTTATATACAGAATTTGTCACAATTTGTCAGCATAGTTAGACTATACATATTTTTAATGATGACATACAGTATTGTCAAAGACATATGTATAAGTACACTATGTATCACCTTGTATCTGTTTATATAGTATTAATTACTGGTATAAGTTATAGTTATTCATTGTATTGAACAATGTAAGTATAATAATATTACTTAAATTGATATTATATAAGTAATATTGAATAAAGTGTGCGATTGTCTCAATCAATGATTACAGAACTCAGTGATTCCGATGTTGAAGAGCACGACCACAACCACAACCATCATATGATTAGTGATGAAGACAAACACAATAGTGATGAAGAAACCAATGAAGACGACGATAGCAATGAATGCAACCAACACAAGAATAGCGATGAGGATACTGAGGATGACCAGGATAATCATGATAATCATGATAACCATGAAGATCATGATGACCACGATGATGATGACGATGACCACAATGACAATGACATCTCAGATAAGGAAGCATTAGAAAGCAGTTTTCAGAGAGAATTGAAGCAAAAAACAGAAATAGAATCGAAAGAAACAAACGAAGAATCAGATGACAAACAAACTGAAGACGAAAGCAGACAACAAATAGATAGCAATGAAAAACAGGACATAAACAAAGACAGCACTGAGAAAGAGTCGGACAGAGAGGACAAGAATAGCAATAGTGATAAAGATTTGAGTGAATCGGATGAGTCGGATGAGCGTCGCTCACGAGTACATATCGACGATATTCTTCGGATCTATGAAATTGGATCACAAGAGGTAAAGGGATGACACTTACATCACATGCATTAGCATATAATGTATAAAATGATTACTTTTAGGACACGAGTGAACAGAATCTCATTTTATCGATATTTCGAGAATTGAAAAAACTTTATGAATCGTCTGTAAAGCCATTAGAAATGATTTATAAGTACAGACACATCACCACCAGATTAATCACGTAATTGTGTACACAATGACTATTAGGACTATTGGGGCAATACATGTATTGTATATATTTCAGTGATGCCGAGTTGTTTGCAAAACCCAAAGTGCTTTTCTTAGGCGCCAAATCCAGTGGAAAGACATCACTTGTCAACTACCTGTTAGGCATCGACTCAACGCCCATGCAATTGAACACAGGTATGACATTCATAGAGAATCACTCAATCAGTAGCTAATTAATGGATGAATGTTGGTCTGCAGGCCTAACCACTTCATACCCTCACTTTACTGTATTGAGCTATGGAGACAACTATACCCGTCTCAGTCCAACAGAACTCTGCGCTGACTTTACCTTTTCAAGTCTTCAGCAGTTTGGCCAACAATTTCTTGAACACTATATTCAAGCCAATAGAATGCCTATTAGTTTATTGCAAAAGGTATTCATTCATGTTATCATTGAATACAATTAAATACACCATTAATAATAATAATTAGATGACAATCATCGATAGTCCGGGACTTACGGATCAGATCAGCAAAAGTGCAACAATGGATCAGCAAGAGATAGACACAGAGGTCTACCAGTGGTTCATCGATAGAAGTGATGTCATATACATTGTCATAGATGTGACTCAATTGCAAATCTCACACCAACTCCAGGCATTAATAGAACAGTTAAAGGGTTGGTTAGCCTTCATTCTCCTATTGTCCTCTCTCTCTCTCTCTCTCATCTCTTGTTATCCACTCTGACAGGACGTGACGTGAGATTCATATTAAGCAAATCAGAACTGGTCTCTCACTCGCAGATCGTCACAATAATCGGTCAACTCTTGTGGATATTGTCTCCGATAATGCCATCGGAAAGACCGCCACAAGTGTACGCCTTAACCAGTAAGTGATGGCCAGTAACTGATAGTCGTGTTGAGCTCATAAGTGTTTGTGTCTATAGCGGTTCCACAGCAAGTGTACGATGCGTTCATCGATGACCAGGAGGTGTCGTGGCTGAAGGACCTGTCCAATCAAATCAGTGGCATCTCTCGCGTGGAGTCGCGTATAGCGGCGTTGCGTCGACACGCGGTTCGGGTGCGAAATCACGCCAAACTCATCGACTGTTATTTGTCCACATTTTACAAGAACAAAGGCATCTTCACATTCGGCGCCTCCTCACGACTTCTGGCAACAGATATCACCGAAAACCCACTGAAATACCGGGTATACAGCGGTGCTGTGTTGGGTCACTCGCACAACATTTCCAGACATGACTTACCCGACCCCGGGGTCTACAGAGAGTTCTTCAGGTAATCATTCAAACCATTCAAACCAATCGCTCAATTGATGCTCATTTGCTCTCAAATACAGATCCAACCCATTGATAGATTTTAAGCCATTGACATCCACGTGCTCTTACTTCAAGGGCTGTCCCATTGACAAACTGGACATCACTATAGCCTATCAGTTGCCAGAACTGGTCGGTAAATACAAGAAACTGACGCGAATTGAACCCTATCTATAGCGCTGCCAGTAATTAGAGATTTATTTTAAAGCAATTCAATATAAATATAAAATAAAGCAATTAATTGTTTATTAAATTGTCAATCATTTGCTCATTCATTGGACACTAATTGTCAAGTAGTCTGTGATATAGCCATCACTGGCACTGTGACCACACCAATGCATGTATCATACAATGGGGTCATGAGAGCAGTGGTCAGCACCTGATGGCTGTGCCGATGGCCATAAACGTGCCGAAAGTGCCTCCGCCCTGAATCATCACTTTGGCCATCGATGACAACAACTCTCGCCCTCTAAGTCCTAGTCTGGGGTCAGACAACACAACATATCATTACAAAGAGTCCAATGGCAGTGATAGTGATAGTGATGACACACCTGAGAGCGTTCACACCTCCGAACACGCCTCCAGAGGCCAGACCCACACACATCCCCATCGCAAAGCCATACTTCACTCGATCCCAACACTTGGGGGTCGACCGCTGGGGGGACCCCCCATACACACTGCCCGTCACCGGCATCACCACTATTATGATACTCTATCACTCTTACTATAACACTATATGTCAAATATTGCTAATGATAATCGGTATGGTATGGTAACTGGTCAACGGGTCAACTGATCACACAATCACCCACTCATAGCACTCAGTCATTACAATAACAGACAACATGTTTTGCAAACTGCAAGCACTGCACAAACACTGCACACTCCAGTCAATGCCATTCATTACCAGGTCTACCATAGAGTGCAGTGCAATGCAATGCAATACATGCGCTGTGAAGCACATACGGACCCATTCATTGCAATCACCTTAACATCGCCTCACATACATATGGCTCAGTGGTCTAGGGGTATGATTCTCGCTTCGGGTGCGAGAGGTCCCGGGTTCAAATCCCGGCTGAGCCCGGTCTTTTTTTCACTTTTTCATGTTCTACACTGTACTGTACACTGTGTACACTGTACAGCCGATACATGAACTACTGTCCAATAATATACTGTAGTTATTAGAGTAACAATAATCACAACATACATTTACTAACAAATATAGTTTAAGCTTATTTTTATTATTAACTGTAGTGAAAATTATATGAAAACACTGTTCAATGTTTAATTGAATGATAATACATGTTAACAATAATAATTATTGAATTCAAATGAATAGCTTTGGTTGCAATGAAATGAAATGTATTTAAAATAGACAATGAATTGATAATAGCGGCCATACTTTGGAATATCAATTATATTTGGAAGATATGACAATTGGTTTGTGGTATACATTGGTATACATATTATGGATAATGTCTTGAAATGAACATAAGTCGACGATTACCGAGGAATTGAGTGAACATAATGTCTATTAAATTACTATATATAACATTAAAGCTTACGAGTGATAGTTCGAGTCATTCATATATTAAATTAAGTTATTTTAAGTACAAATATAATTAATTATTCAAATAAAGACAAACTAAGAGTGAGTTCAGTGTTTACGGTTGAGTTCATTATTAATCCGATTTATGATCTTTTTGGTCAACACTTCACACCAAATACCACTCAAACATCAGAAGTCAATGATTGAGTGAGAGTTGAGTCTTCAGTGTCGGAGTCATTGTCGATAAGATCGGGAACTGTTTGATCGCAGGAAAGGTGAACAGATTTGCAGCTATAGTCCATTGAGTGAGTCGAGTGTGAGGACGAGGCACTGGTAGTTAGGGCTGCAGTTTGGTTACTGGCGGCGGTGTTGGCATTGGTGGCAGTCTTGTTATGTTTGCAATTATTGATGGACCGGTAGTTTTTGAACCAACGATGCGATAGTATGTCTTCAGCAGAAAGTCGTTCGCTGGGTTCGAGTCGCATAAGACTACGGATGAGACACTTGGCGTGCGGTGAGAGAGAGTCAGGAATCACATACATTCCTCTCCTGATCTTACAGAACAAGAGAGAGGGGTTCATGTCGTGGAACGGATATCGGCCCACAAGGAGTGTGTACACTATCACTCCCAACGACCAACAGTCGGCCTGTCTGGCAGAGTAGGTGCCTCTGCTCACCGACAGTATCTCCGGACTCACATATGCGGGACAGCCGTGTTTGTCGCTCAGCATATCGTCGTCGCAGTCGTCCAGAACTGCCGCGTCTTCCAGAGTCTCGAGTTTTAACACAGTTCTAGACATAAACACATCAATTAGTGCGACAGTCCTACAGCCAAACAGTCACTCTTCACTGTATCCGAGTCTAGAGTACAGTACAGTACGAGTGTGTCATTCATTCATACCTTTCTTTATTAGCAAATAAAAATTTTCTGAGTTTAAGATCTCTTAAAATGATTCCATTCTTATGACAATCGGCGACAATCGTAACGATTTGATGAAACAAATGAATGGCTTCTGATTCTCGTAATCTCTTTTTGCTCCTCACGTATGAATGCAAGTCTCCGAACGCCGGCGCGAATAATACATATGTGTGTTGTTTGGCCACCAGAACCTCCTCCACTCGATTGATAGCTGAATGGCCGTCCATTCGCAAGTGACCCGACAGGAACTGGTGATAGCTTTTTGTAGGAACAATCTGTCATGCAGTAAACACATCACAATCACACCATTAGTTCACATATAATTCATGAGGCAATCAATGGATACATACTTTGCAACAGAACTCAGAGTTGGTTTGAATATCAATACAACGAAACAGATTACTCGTCTCGAACTGAGACACCAATACATATCTGTCCCCAAAATAGGCCGGAAGGCAGACATCGGAGGTGACATTTGTGGCCAAAATTGGTGGTGTCGGGGGCTGTAAGTTAGGACTCAGGTTAGACCACGACTTGTCCTCTTCCCTCGATTGCTTTGGCTTTGCTTTGCTTAGATCCAGACGTGAGGGACGTCTTTCCGTTGATGACTGCGACGATCCATTCAATGGGAAACTCATTTCATGTGATTTAACTAATAGTCCGACAATTAATTAGTAATAGAGAGACAATGGCGTCAAGAGTGGCATAGAATGTAATATATCACAGAAATGAGTCACTCTTGAGATAATGATTGCAATGAGGAATAAGTGATGAAATATTAACACATATGCCGAGCAATACTCCTCTGATTGCTATGATTGTCACCACAGCTAAGCTGTGATAGTTGTGAGAGGTTTATATCACTACTTCAGTAGAGATGAGAGTACGTGATCACCAGCACAGACACCACTGATACCAACACTGATGACACTGATCACTGGCTACACACCAGTCCACAGCACCCTATTGCTCAGTCATGGCAGTCATGGACATCTCTGCAAACATTGATCATTCATTGATTAATTAGAGTTACACTATAAATACAATATGACAATGATAGTAATGTGATAGCAATGTGATCAATTTAGCAATAAGATCACTTGCTATAATACAGTATACAGTTTCACCACAAGTCTACCAAATCAAGTGCAGTCACATACAGTGTACAATATGAAAGGTAAAATGGACACTAATTCAATACCTGTATTACTGTATTACCGGAACAATTGACAATCATATGGATATAAGGGATAAAAGGGACACAAACAGTGAGTAGTGATCATGAGATGGCTTTCAATGGTATGAATGCAACGATTGAATGATTGCTGACAAGAGATGAAAGACCTTATCTGTGATGCCATTCATTGCTATAACACATAACACATCATATCCTGAGTGGTGGCCAATCACTGAACACTACAACAACGCTGTGTATTATAGTCATCAATGAAACACTTTTCACATGCATTACAACAACAATCACTGCAATACTTACCACTATTTCATTCAATCCACACATTTGACCACATATTGCAGTTCATACCAAAATAGGTAGGGCTCTATCAAAGGTAGCATCAAGTACACCATTCATATTGACTATAGCATAGCATAGCATAGCATACACTGTATGGCACTGTAGTGTTAGGTCATTCACACTCAACAATAGTGAGCATCGATTATATTGAATACAATATCACATACCGTATGATATGTTTATATAACAGATACAGTAGTTAGTGTACAATAGTGTACACCATTCGCAGCACTCACTATCAGTAACGGTAATAAGCAAAGTATTGGTCAACTGTATCAGGTGTACACTATCATTGTTGTACTGTACCGTACATATCATATCATACACTGTCGTACTGACCACACATTTGGCATTACGGTTGTGGTGTTGGTGTGATAACTGTATTACAGATTACAGCTAATACTCACCATTCATGGCATTCATTGGATTCATAGATTGTGGCAATAGTTGTACACAATTGGGAAATATTGCGAAAAGCATTTCAATCGCGTATCACTCAATGTATTACTGTATGTATGCATTGGTCTCATACACTTGGTATTACTCAATTGAGTACAGTGTTGGGCAATACACCACTACACCCACCCGTTTGGCACATGCCCGGTCTGTACACTTGCAGTACAGTGCGAGTTGAGTGGAGTGCGGCCCCCAAGGGGTGCCCAAAGTGGAGGCACGCCTTAGTCGTGTGTGTTTTGCGTAACACTTGTAAGACTAGTATTTATTTTTGTATGACTCGAGTCTGGCGTAACTATTGAGCAATCATTGCATACACTATTGACACCAGTGTTGGCTATACTGTCACTGTTTACTACATTGTGTATTAACAGTAATATTAAATATAGTCAATGCTATTGCTATGGCCAATGCTATGCCAATGCTATTGCAATCAATGCTATGTTACTTGAATAATACAATACTGTATGGACTGAAATGAAGCAATACTTGCATTCAATGTTTGTTTGTTGATCACAACCACTGTTTGATTGTTTGCATAAATCCATGAGAAGTGAACAAACAAACAAATTATGTTATTATGGATATTATGGATATGTTGTTGTTTTCAATTATAAATTATCCATTTATTTATTGATAACTAATGCTTACAACAGACTAATAAACAATTCAAACCAATAGTTATAGATTTATACTCATTACATGTAGTTCTGTATCAATACAAGTGATTCCAGTATTAGCTGACACTCGCACTGACCTTCCGGACAGACGCCTGGCTCTCAGCGTAAGCCTTGATTCGGGCCTCGATTTCAGGCCTAAAGTGACGAATTAAACCCTACGGTAGAGATAGACAAGAATGAGTGAGGAGTGGGGGCAGTGGTGGTGGGGGCGTACCTGTACGGGCCAGGCGGCGGCATCCCCGAGCGCGCAGATGGTGTGTCCCTCGATCTGTTTGCTCATCTCGTAGATCATGTCGATCTCGGGTGCGGTGGCGTTGCCCTCCACGAAGCGCCACATGATCTTGTTGAGCCAGCCCACCCCTTCCCGACATGGCGTACACTAGTGTAGGCAACAGTCAGTGGACAGGCAGTACTCACTCAATCACTCACTTGGCCACAGCTCTCGTGTTTGTAAAAAGTGAGGAGTCGTGCGATGGCTTTCACCACATCTGTCTGTCTGTTCATTACGATGAGAGCAGCCGTTCCCAGACCTGACTGCGCGGCCAACAGTGAGTCGAAGTCCATAAGTACTTCTTCGCACACTTTCTTCGGTATAATAGGAGTGGAAGAGCCGCCAGGAATGACACCCAACAGGTTATCCCAACCACCGATCACTCCTCCGCAGTGCCTTTCTATGAGTTCCTTCAATGGTATAGACATCTCCTCCTCGACAGTACACGGATTGGTCACATGACCCGAGATGTTGAACAGCTTTGTGCCGCTGTTTCGGGTGCGACCGAACGACACAAACCAAGAGCCGCCCCTCCGACAGATAGTGGGCGCCACCGCCACTGTCTCCACGTTGGACACAGTGGTGGGACAGCCAAACACTCCGATGTCTGCCGGAAAGGGAGGCTTAAGTCGAGGCTTTCCCTGTTTACCTTCGATGGACTCGATTAACGCGGTTTCCTCTCCGCAGATGTAGGCGCCGGCGCCTCTGTGAACGTATACATCAAAGTCGTATCCACTTTGACACGCGTTGCGACCGATAAGACCCGCCTCATAGGCCTCCCGAATGGCCAGTTGTAGGTTTGAGGCCTCGTTGTAAAACTCACCCCTAATGTAGATGTAGGCGGCAATGGCTCCCATCGCACGCCCGGCCACCAAACAGCCCTCTATGAGCTTATGCGGGTCGTGGCGCATGATCTCCCTGTCCTTACAGGTGCCCGGCTCACCCTCGTCCGCGTTCACCACCAAATACTTGGGTCTCCCGTCCGGCGGCTTATTCATGAAACTCCACTTCAGACCCGTGGGAAAGCCGGCGCCACCCCTTCCCCTCAGACCTGACGCCTTCACTTCATTGATAATCCATTCGTGACCGCGAAGTAGAATCTCTTTGGTTTTATACCAATCGCCCTGAAGTGCAGTCAATGTGTGGACAATGTGTGGTCACTACAGACACTAACAGACAATACACTCAACGCATACCCGTCTCAGAGCGCCCTTCAGTTTCCAATCGTGTCTTCCGTACAGATTCGTGAAGATTCGGTCCGAGTCTTGCAGAGGACCGTACTTTGTCTGCACATACCATCAAACCATACATCATATCATCACATGTCTCACAAGATTAACACACAGACAGACCTTCTGTGGAGGAGTGGTAGGAGTGGTGGACAGACATCGGGACACAGGCGTCACTGTGAGAGGTATGACTGCAAACAATGACATATCATCACAACTATTGCATCGATCAATGTATGACTTCTCACTGCTTTGGATCCGATGGCTGATGAGTCTCATTGTGGCGGACAAGAGGCTAACGTTACCACTGATCACTTCACTGATCACTTCACTGATCACTTCACAGTCACAACAATAACAACACTACTGTTCACTCCACTAATGATGTCTTCAAATGTGCCAAACTATCATACGGTTCATCCATTGTATGTGGGAAAGACACGTGCCCACGCCCGCCAAGGCGTACTGGGCGCGCGCCCAGGGCATGCCCAGCGTATTCTAGACGTGCCCGCCCGCCCAGTTTTTAACATTAAAACTAATTAATTAATTATAAGTTAGATTAAAAGTTAGTCTTTTTAAAAACATTTATCCTTACTACTAGCGTCTAATTAGTTTAAAGACAACCACAAAATATTCTGTATTTTACAATATTTAACAAAATGTCTGGTAAAGTCGCGCCCAATGCGCCCTATGTGCAACAAATACGTCTGCATATAATAGCAAATGTCCCCCCTTTTCACTCCTTATTACCGGACGTAATATATGAAAGTGGTTAACCCCTGACATTTTGATGTGCATGTGCCGGGCGTATTACTTTAGCGCCCGCCCAACCGTCGTTCACTACTCACAAGTGAATACAATATTATTGAAGACAGAGATGGAAGAGAGGTCTTCGGCACACAAGAGGAAGGCCTGCGCTCTACCGTTGACTCGAGTGAAGACAATTATGCGCTCTTCACCGGACGTGTCGTCCATCAGTCCTGAAGCCATCGCATTGACAGCACACTCGGCGGTCAGTGTCACCACTCTTACCATTACTGTTGCTGTGATAGTGATTAATGTGGTTATTGTTGACTCACTACAGAAACTATTCATCAGTCAATTAGTTGGCGATTCACTGGACGAGAGTCACAGTGGAGACCAATTGGAGTACAAAGACTTGGCTCATGTTGTGGCCACTCATAAGCGGATGGCTTTCCTTCAGGACATTTTGCCGCAGAAGATGACGGTTCGAGACTTCGACCGATTGGTCACAGAATACGAGAAGCAACACAAGAGTGTCGGTCGAGACCACAAGCATTAGACATGTCTTATGACAACATTTGTATTATTTGTTTCAATAAAAATAAGCCCAACTTATCATAAGACCCATCGATTGTTACTATCCATGGATCCACTCATTCATAATATGTTACATAATATTGCTTTCATAAGAAAATTAGATAAAGTAATGAAATGTTTGAATCAAAAATAGTACGATTGGCCCACTTTTGCCACACTTTTGTCCCTTTCATGTCAATACCATTCAAGACTAGGAGTTAAGCCACGGATGAGCAGTGGCTAAACCCCTCGATTGGGGAGGTCTTTGACTTTATAGATGCGGACCAACCAGTGCTCTGTAGTGTAGGCCTCTTCTAATACTTGGAGATCGAAGTCTTTGTGGCCGATCTCAGCGCCCCGGACGCGGTCATAGCCCGGAGGTTTGCCTGCAATCGAAGCAAACGTAATGTTACAGGACGTGGGGGTCAGTAGTTGCAAGGGTTGGCACTCATACCTCCTTCAGTGTAAACGGATCCGAATCTATAATATGACATTTTATACATTAGACAATTGAGTAGAGTTGGGGACCCCTCCCGATCCACTCGGAATTCGCCAGAACTCGTATAATAGTCGGTCTCTTTAATATGAGTTCCCTTATCAGTGCTGCCGCCGATGCGGACCATCCATAAGAACTTATTGATGTCATCAGAGGAATAGCCGGTCAGACCTCCAAATATGACGAGAACGTAGTTGACGTCCAGTTCCCTCATTATCTCGTAAGCCTTATCTTCAGGCGATGCCATGGCCTGACCCACACGTGATATATGTGTGTTATTCCAGGTGTTGTTGTCTACAAGAATGGTACGGTTGGCCATCGCTGTTATCTGATAGCCATAGTCCCACCTGAAGCACAAACACGTGGTCTGGTTTTCAACGATTGCACGAATAATCAATGCTTTCATACGAACCAAGACATCACTTTGGCGTCTTCTGCAGTGTTTTGTCTCAACCAATAGTAGGCTTCCCGGAAGTCATCGAATATAATGCGAGAGCCGTCGTGACTGCGCGCAGACAACACGATCGATGGCGACGAGTAGGCCTCTGATGTGACCCAAATGCAGTGGTAGGTGTAGGCCAGCAGGAGGCCAGTCGTGACCAACACGAACATCGAGGCCACCTCATGACGCATCACATAATTAGTGTCGTGTCGGCGCACCTTCTTCTCCGACGATTGCCCTGAGCTTACAGTCGACTGACTGTGCGTCCAATGGGTCGAGTGGTTGTGATTGTGAGCACTACTAGTGTTAAGACTAGAGCTGGTCGTAGAGGAAGTGGTCTCCAATTGCTTGCAATAACGGGTCAGCATTTGTGAGATACCAATACCTGAGAGGATACACATGACGGGCGCCAACACTAACATCAACCGAACCATCACTCCCTTCAAGACAACAATACAATACCATTAATACAATAATAAGCACATAATCACAGCAATGATGAGACACTCACAGCGAAGTAAATACTTGTGACGCCATAAAGGATTATGAAGATATTGGCGTCACTTAAGCGACTGAAACAGAAGTACAGTCCCACCGGAAACAGGAATACAAGCAGTTGGAGGTCGAAGTAGAAGGACGACCACGACGTGGGCTGGTGTTCAGACACGGACGCGATGATTGGGATATTGTTTTTGGCGTACGACGGGTCCAGAAGCGAGTAGAAGCGTCCCGTCCAGGGGCTGATCTCTGCAATACAACACACACCACATATTGACGCTCTCGTCACTCACTGTCATACCATTCACTCAATCACTTACTGCCGATGACTGTGAGGAATACGCCGGCGCTGAGGGCCACGAACCCAATCAAGAGAACCAATGAACGGAAGAGAATGTCGTAAAAGTGTTGCGAAAGCTTTGATTTGATGTATTCATTGAAGGCGTAGAGTTGACACAAACCAAACACCCCGAAGGCGGCCATGTGTTCACTGGAGGTGACGGGTTGGAAGCCCACGAACGGGATCTGCATCGACAACAGTGTTCCCAAACAGTACACCTAAACACAGACACAGCAGACACCACACGTGAGACCAGTTGTCAACTGTCACACCAATCGTCTTACCGTTGAGTACGCGATATAAATCCGGTGACTGAAACGACCCGTCATTATGAGTGCCAACACGTGGAGAGGGATGAGGTTAATGAGGAATACATATCCGCCCCACGAGGACACCATATAGAAGTAGGCGAGAGAGCACAGGGAGGACCAGTACACTGAGCCGCTCTTCACGGACTTGATCCACAAATAGTAAGTCAAAAGCATACAGAATATGGCGATGCCTTCGTTGTCATAAGAACCGGCCACTGATCGCGATATATATCCGGGAACTATGGATATCATGGCTGCGGCCACAAGACCTGACGCATCATCGCTCAGCTCTTTAGTCAACAAATAGGTGACAATTGTTGTGAAACTCGAGAAGAGTGGCGCCAGAAAGACACACACATTGCGGATGTCGACGGGAATGTTGACGAACTGGAGGCCGTGGTATAGCACCGCAGACGTCACCATCAGACCCGGATATATCGTACCACCGATGATGCGCCCCAACGGATACCACGCCCTGTCGTCGAACCAATTCAAGAAGCTGTAGAACCCCTCTTCGGTCAGGAAACGAGTGGTCCTGTAGTTGAAGTACGGGTCGAACTCATGGATCACTGACTCAAACCTCAACACTGAGAACAGGCGACACGAGAAGGCTGTAAGACATGAGACATGACATGAGACACGACATCATCACAAGACACCATCACTTCCATCACTTACAGAGGATGGCGGCCAACAAGAGCACTGTTGTCTTCAGCAGACGCTCTCTCGAGTCATCCGACAACAAACGAGACCACAGATGACGGGTCTTGTAGTTAATGGCAGTCATATCCGATGTCTTGTCTGTGGACAACACGTGTATCAACACTACTGTTGCTATTAATGACAGTATCAGTGAATCACAGAATCAACTCAAACCCGGCTTACAGTACACGCTATACACGAGTACTACTCATAGTGAACGACGATTGGCGGGCGTGCGAGTAGTTCGTCCGCGCCCGCCCGGCATGCCCAAAAAATGGAGGGGCTAAGCACTACTCTCATAGATTACGCCCTGTAATAAGGGGTGAAAAGGGGGACTATTATTATTATATGCAGACATATTTGTTGCACATTGGGCGCATTGGGCGCGACTTTACCAGACATTTTGTTAAATCTAGTAAAATACAGAATATTTTGTGGTTGTTTTTTTAACTAATTATGCTAGTAGTAAGGATAAATGTTTATAAAAAGACTAACTTTTAATTTAACTTATAATTAATTAATTAATTAAGTTTTAATGTTTAAAACTGGGCGGGCGGGCACGTCTCGAATACGCTGGGCATGCCCTGGGCACGCGCCCAGTACGCCTTGGCGGGCGCGTGTCTTTCCCTACTCATATCATAGCATTAACTTTCTATAAATTACGGCAAAAACATGTGAAAAGTGGATAAAAATATACTTTTAAACTTTTAGAATACAGTATTATACCTTAGATATGATATAAATACAGTAACTTTTTAGACTTAGTAGTGATTTAATGATATTTATTAGATCTGAATATTCGAGTACTTACGGTCCTAAACGGAGCCTTCGTCAGGAGTTATTACAAATTATGAGATTTAAATGAATTAAGTGAATCAAGTATCAGGTATACCTTATTTCTCAATTTTAAGATATTCAACTAGATTGTGTTCAGAGAATTACAGTTATACAACATATTTAAATTGATTTAGTTTAATGAATTAACATAAAATTATTATGCTAATTAATATAAAACAATGTTAATTTGTGACCATTCATTGAAATGAATGCTAACACTTGAAATTGTATAAAATTTTAAAATTTGGTTTATGAAACTATTTGAAAAATAAAGTTAGACTTATAGAGTGCTGTAATAATCAATATTTATCGTATCGACACAACAATCTAAGAGTTGGTCAGTAATTCACTATTGAACTCATTTGATGGACAATTAGTTGACACACTTTGGAAGTGGACTCTCTATTCATGACAAACGCGTGGTTCATGTGTTTGAGACAAAGTCTTATATCACAATTGGGATACAAGAGGTGAATGCGCCGGTAGTACTCGAGTGGACACCACTGATCACAGTCTCCATAAAGAAATGTCAACTTCTGTTCGTTCCTCTCAATCGCTTCTCTATTCAATTGATTAACCTTTGGGTAGAAATGAATGATACAGTTACAATAAATCGTGTACAATATCACCATGATACTATGCTACACTATCATATACTATGATACAATATTCACTTAATTACAGAGATTACTGTATTGTTATAGTTATGGCAACTGTATAGAAATGGTTGGCCATATGGTTGTCATACCGTTTTGAACTCAATGAGACTCATGTGAATCAAAGCCCGCAAACAGTTTGGATGCAAGAGATTAGTAGCCGAAGTGAGTACACATTGAGGAACATCCTTCTCACCACCCATTCTCAGCATAAATGCCACCAATTTTTGTTTGTAATCATCTCTCAATTGGTCCAAAATATAACTTAATCCCAAGAGAGGATATTTAAACCATCCAAATAAGAACTTATACTTAAGTGCTTCAGAAGTGTCTCCCATGGACTCAATGGTTGGGAAAATGAGAATTGAATGTAAGACCTGTGGATCAAATGGAAAGAGTTGTCTATGAATTGTAAATAAGTGCCAAAAACATCAATTGAAGTACTTGTGACCGAATACTGTCGTATCGATTCAGTAATTCTAAGACAATATAACATCCAATTGAGTGTCCAATCAATACAAGCTTTGATTCACGAGAGATATACTCTTCAATAAAACACTTCTTATGAAATATTTGTCCGTTCAGTGAATACAAGTCCTCGTTGTCTGCAAATTGCAATCAATACGAGTGATAGACCATTGAGACCATCATTGTATGCAATCATACAGTATATGCAGTCATTAAACCATACCTGCGATGGCGGGCAGAGAATGACCCTTTGGGGGCACATTGTGTCCGGCGTGGGACACACCTAACACTGGCAGTCCTGTCTTGCAGTGTACTTCATATAACAGATCACTATAATAGGCCACTTCTCCAGGATTTCCTATCATATGATCACAAAATGTATTATTATATCATAAATGATTCACACCGTAATACAGTATGACATATTACAGGTACTGGTACAGTGAAGGTAAGCCAGGACAATCAATTCTGTAATCACGTGTTCACTGCTTTCTGCAATGTGTTTATGTCTGTGCAGCCCATAGTTTCATCATTATTAATGCCATTTATTGACACCTTGCGTATGTCAGACACTATGACTCGACTACTCATACATTCGTCGCTTACTCATAGACAGTGACCACTAAATGTAGACATACGCAAGGTGTCAATAAATGGCATTAATAATGATGAAACTATGGGCTGCACAGACATAAACACATTGCAGAAAGCAGTGAACACGTGATTACAGAATTGATTGTCCTGGCTTACCTTCACTGTATACTGTATGTCAAGTGAATGTCCTGAACAACACATACCTGATATCATCAACACTATGGGTGACCTCAACGCGCGGATCTCTTCTTTGAAACCAAAGCGCACCACTCGAGTGACCACTCCATTGATTTTGAGCCAAAGACTATGGTCATCAGCGCTTCCAGCCATTCAGCCTATCAACCAATGTTTGTTTACAAAGGCTTTGATTGTATTGAGTGACTGAATGGAGATTTTCATTCACTTCAGTCTATGAGTGCATTACTTCAATGGTTACGCAATCATTAAACCAATCATTGGATTACTGTAAAAGTAAACGACAAACCATAACAGTATAACGTTATAACTGGTATCATATGATACTACTGTATAGTTATTATAGTCAAGTAGATCAAGTACAGTGTACTTAGTACACAATTATATTAACAAATACTGTATGATGATTATACTGTAGTAATTTTTACCGGTAATATACTACAGTATTCTAACTGTTCACTACCTGTATTATGCAATACAATACTCACAACATTATAGACTATAATAGAAATATTGTACTCTTTTGACACTCACTTCTCAGTTCTACAGTATTCTTCAATAGTCATCCCAATGCAACACTTTTTGCCAAAAAGTTTTTGGTATGTTTTCAAAAATCTAGTTATCATTTCACTTTTATATTAAACATATGTAAAATAACATACTGAATCTAACATCATACAAATTGTATTCATTATTTTAGAATTTTCATATCACAATATCTACTAAATTAATCCCAATTTTGGTTTGTAAGCTATCAACCGAAATAAAAATAGATTTTGTTCAGACAAACCTTGGCGTATTTTATAAATATTGATTTTAATTGTATTGGTAGTTTAATTAAAGCATTTTTATACACAAAAATAATTTTATTCACTAAATTGGACTGTATAAAAAGTTATTTATACTTAATTGAAATAAATTTATTTCAGTGACTGTAGTCAAAATGATAAATTAAGCAAGCACAACAATAAATGTAATTTGAATATTATAAATTATAATCATTATCATAGTAAAGGTGTAAGCTAGAATATGAGTGGTTTCATAATGAATGGTGAGAATTGTTCATTATTAATTTATGGATAAATATATAATACTTGAATTGGATTGAGTTATAAGTTATACAAAATACAAAATCAAAGAAATTAATTTTATTTTGGAAAGAACTTCAAATTGTTTATTCATAAAAATGTAAATCTTATACAAATTGTTAGAAAGAATGAGAATAAATGGGAAAATGTCACATATTTCATGTATTGTATGAATAATACTGTTTATAAAATATTTGTAGAAAATAAGGTCACTTTAAGGGCAATAATAATTATTGTATATTCATATGAAGTATAAATATATAAAGTAGAGTATTGATTGTTACATAATTATTGGTCCAAATATAAAATATATCTAAAATTAGAGATCAATACTAAAATCTCACTCATTTGAGACTTCATTGGACTAAACAATACATTAAATGAAATATAATTTATTTGTAAAGATTTTTGGCGCATTTTGAATTTTGAGAGAAAGAGAGAGAGAGAGAGAGAGAATGACATTACCGTACATTGAATTCACCAATAGAGTGAACCCAAAGAATGAAATATAATATTTAAGATTTAAATGTAAGTCTAATGGTGTGTATAATAAGACACAATTAATTCGTATTTAGAGACCATTTGCTCCCTTGCCTTCAAGTCGTCGATAAAAGTCGAGAATTAAATCTTTGAAGTTGAGTGGATCCAAGTTCTTGGAAAGTAAGTCCAACACAAACCAGTCGCCAATTTGGCACTGATTGCAAACTGAGTGCAGAGCGTCTCTGTTGGACAGACATCTGGACTGAGTGGCCAGGTATCTAATTCGGGGCACAAATATTGTGATCACACGATAGACCAGAGCTATGAAACTGATGATCGCCAAGAAGTAGAACCAGAACCATAAGAATATGTATATCTTTTCGTTGACAATATTGATGGGAAGGATACACATGGCGTCGTGTTTCTGCACATCACCAGAAGACCCGAACCGATGGAAAGTACATTTGGTTAGACGTGGAAACACTTTGATCTGCAAACAAATACAACAATCTTAGCCATCACTGTCTGTCTGTACAGTATGTATGTCACTGTCTGGCCATTAGACTCACCATTGGGTCGTATCTGACAGACCAGTCCCACTCAGAAAAGCTGAGTACTTCCCACCCGTAGTTAGAGAACTCTCCGCCTAAGAAGCGGTCCATCAAAACCATTTGGAGGATAACATTAAGGAAATTAAGGACTTCTGTCGTGACGTACATTTTGAAGAGCAGGTTATGATTATTAAGGTTTTTGTAGAGGTATTCGACGAGAAGGGCTCGATTATTACTTTTAACGTCTTCACTACAAATGGGATAATTGAGACCCAGAATCAAATTCTTTACTCTTCCGGCTTCGGCTGCTTTCCATAGATATCGCGGAATATAGAAGAGGAGGGCCTGGAAGAAGAGCACGAAACACACCCACTGGTAGTACGCGTGATACACACGCTTCTCGTTGGGGGTAGTCTTGTCGACCCCCGGGTACGGCACCTCATCCCCCACCCGCTTCTTCCACGCGTTTTCAATGCTGAACGTCGTGTGAATCCAACAGTAAGTGTCTGAAGACAAACATATAATGATTAATAAAATACAGTATGTATACAGTTGTCTACAATTAATTACAAACCGAGAAGATTAGGCGGAATGTCATCTCTGGAAATGCAATCGATTGGATCCCCGAAGTACTGCCGCGCTATTTATATGAGACATTAAATTATACATTAAATGATACATTACAATGGCATGTATTACATCATTAGTCACTCGTGTACTGTACATTAATTGTACATATATTCATATTATAGGTTTAACTGATTAGGAAGATTGAGTAAGCTCATTAAATGATTTTTGTTTCTTCTACTGTACATATTAGTACTGTACCATATTACGTTAACAATGTCAATTTAACACATGCAGTACAATATTGCTAATTGCAATGTACAATAGAGCAATTTATACAGTATGTATAAATGATACATTGAAATGATATATTTGAGTAAATGTATGAATATATTGGTGAATATATGATAGGATGCCTACCCGTCACCATAAGACTACATCCGATGAGTATAACCACAGTTGCCTTATAGTGAAGTCGAAATATGTTGTTATCGATGACACAAGAACTGGGTTTCAAGAACTGCTTCAGACTTCCAAACAATTGAAACATTTCTATGGCTTATGTGTGATGTTTGCGAATCTATAACATATAGTCAACCAATTGACTGAAGATGTGCTCAATTGATGGTTATATCATATATGAGTGAATCGGACACAAGTATTGTGTGCTTCGTTGGGTTCACAGTGAGGGCAATGAGGGCGTGGGTCACAGTACACAACAACTCAGCACTACTGTAGGCATTGTGGCGCTGGGAGTCTGGGCTCTGGGCTCACTACTGGGCTATAAGCTACAGCACAGGGCTATACTCTGTGACCAACTTATGGCTGCTTTGACTGCTTTTCTGTAAAACTACTTTTGCGGCCAATCTTTGCTTTCTGTGCTTCAATTGCTTTGAGGGTAACGTTAGGACTGTTAGCACTGGTATCCAATGAAATGCTGTCTCAAACTTGTCTTTGAGGCACATTTCACTGATTGTCAGCGCATTCAATGCACTCACTCTGCAGTCTATGCTGTCTTTCAGCCGAACAAAGATCACTGCACTCGTAGCCAACACTTCCCTACTCTCTACAGCTCTACAGCCTGTGCTCTGATCACTGACCCTATCATTCAACTCATGCAGCACTGCATCATATGATGGTATGGGGTATCAGATTGTCATTCCTTACCACACCATTCAATACAATGTACCCCTACTATAGCCCCACTGTATGTGTCGGTCACTAATGCCAGTCACTGCTCGAGTCTACGCTATCAGTCCATTAGCTGTGAGAGTCAAACAAACATTTGATATCTCAATGATAAGAATATTCCTCATCAGTTATCTCTTATTATACTGTACAGCACAGTACAGTACAGTACACAAGTCCAGAGGTCCGAAAATATCGGGTCTCGACCTACGTCTCTAAAGACCTGGGTCTCAAAATTAAGGATCTCAACCTGTCTATAAAATCAAGGACCAGGTCGAGACCTGCATTGAATTGACCGTCAAATAAAAATATTAATTAAACCTGAAATATAATAAATTACAATAATTTATAATTTAATTATATGGGAGTTGTTGATTAGACATACAATACCTACAGTATAATGTCAAAATCTTACCAACCTATCCAACGGTTCCGACCATCGAATCATTGCATGTAATATATCGTTGGAATCAGCTCAATGAGTAGGAATAAGAAATTCACTTCTTGAGCTGAATTAAATATAATTATCTTCTCTGACCATGGAGAAATATTAGTAAAATTCTTAACCTACTCATTGAACTGATTCCAACGATATATCACATTCAATGATACGATTAGTATCGTAGGTATTGTAGGTCAAATCAACAACAACCGAATTATTTATATTTTTTGACAAAAGCACTTTCAACAGATTTGTAGACAAAATGATTTAACCGTTCATTATTGGCAATTAATATAATATATGGCAATTATGATAAAAAAGTGAAAATCTTAGTTAAAATATTGTTAAACTTTAAGTACCTCATTGAGACTCAACCTAATGTTAACACTAGGAACAACGAAAAGTTTGTAGTGTACGTACTGAATGACGTGTATTTACTAAATGAATGTCCCCGAATATTATTTCTCATAGAATATTAAAGCAATCTCTTTTTCACTACTTTTGATCACAGAATACAGATATAGATATTCAGTATTCATTTTTTATTCAATTTATTTATTGATATATAAAATTTTTAAAAAATAATTCTTATTAATTACTAATTAATAATTAGTCTAGCTCTTAATTTATCTAATATTAATAGACTGAATATCACATTTGACTAATTAATTGAGTAGTGAATAAGAGATGTTTTAATTATTAAAAATATGACAAATAATATTCGGGACATTCATATAGTAAATACACGTCATTCAGTACATACACTACAAACTTTTCGTTCTTCCTAGTTAACACCTGTTTTGAATTAATATCAATTATTAATATGATCAATGTAATTCAATTGAATTGTATAGCAAATAGTAGAAGGGTGTGTAGGGCTAACTATAATAGCAAGGTACACAATCATCAAGTTAGTTGCAATACTCATTAGTAATTATGGGATTATTCGGGAATTCCCGATTTTTAATGGTCAGTTTAATCATCGGGAATAAACTGGATTTATTTAATTGGTTATCAATACATTATAAATACCAAGTTTTATATTCCCGAATTTTCCCGATTTTCATAGAATTTTGCCATAATTCCCGAAAGTAATAAAATTGTCAAATAACTCCCGAAAATACTGAATTTATTGTAAATTTAGTATAAAATGTTTTAGTTTTATTTAAGAAACTAAAAATTATAAATTAAATATTGAGAAATCATTCAATAATAGGCTCAATAACTATAAAATAATGTTTTTGACAATTTATTAATACTGTAAAAAGTTTTTAAAACAGTTTAGTATAAAATTCAATACATTATATCATTTTATTGAGTTGTTTAACGATTATTGAATTGTGAAAATGGGTAAAACTAAAACTAGTTTGAGGTCTAAATTAAATTAGACAATACTTTAGAAGCGTTGTCTGGATTTGCAAATCAAAAACTAGTGAAATGTGTTCAGAAAAATAAGGATTCAGAGAAGTGAAGCAATCTCTGAGACATTTTCAGATCCAATGTCTCACAACGAATGCAACTCTTGTTTCTGTTGTTCAAATCGAGCGCGAGTTAGAGAAATATAAGAGAATTCTAACGATATTCACTGAACTGAACATAATCTTAAAATGCATATAATTATTAACTATAATTATTCAATCGATAGTGAAGCTTAACTTTTATGTATTTCTAAGTAATTATTTTAATGAATAAAGCTTTTTAAACTCCCGATTTTAGTCCCGAATTTGCCTAATTTTATCTCCCGATTCCCGACCGATTTTGGCCATTTTAAGTCCCGACTTTCCCGAAGCTTGGTAATGAGTCATTCGCAAAAGACGTACCCCTGGTAGGGGGAGGGATCATATCAAAGAGTACTGGTATTTCTTCGTTGCTATGTTTTAGAGTCTAAAATTTAGACAAAATGATTGCTTTTATTTGAATTCAGTTGCAAAACTTGAAGACAAATGGTTTGGTTTTGAGAACCCTTTGCAAAATATTAATGATTTGTTTATTCACTTTAATATTCACTTTAATTATGATTACCGTTTACTTTAATATGATTTATTGATATATTTCACAAAATAATTGCATTTAATTTAATAACTATTCTCATAGTTTTATCAAAACTTGTGATCAGTTCAACTATAAGCTATATTTGATTTAACAAACCCGTAGTCAACCTTGTGTTAAACATTATAATACTGGTATAATTAATACAAGTTTGACTATACTGTATGAGTATTTAATTGGCTATGGTTACTATACCATGGTATTGATTCCATTTGTTTGCTAGATTGTCATTAAATCATTTAATCATTAAGATGTATACAATGTATGACCAAATATGATAAAATAGACTTTTATTTGCAAAACATTACAAATGTAACCCTGTTTTCAATATTTAATCAAATGACCATTGTCCTATAATTGAGTCAATATTTAGAAATATGATTTTAAACAAAGTTATTGATAAATAATGGTTTGTTGTGAAAATAAATGGATTTAATTAAAAATCAATATTATTGTTAAATCTAATAAAAATAGTCAATGTTTTGAACTCATGATTACTTGAATCACAGATGTATTGGTATTTGTTTGTAACTTATTTGATGTTTCAATTGCATTATGTTTACAAATTTCATGCTTGAATAGATTGCATATAAGATATAGTAATAAAGTATTAACATATTTAATATTATGTAGTGTGTATATGATACTAAATATATTCGGTATAAATTTGGTTTTAACAGTGATTTATATCTAATATAAAATGAAAACCTCTTTTACTAATATATAATAAAAATCAATAATAAGTAATATATTATAATTATAACAAATTTTATGTTTAAAAATAAATTGCAAGTAAATTTGATAATTAAATTATTGCTTGTGAACAAATATGAAAATAAGGCCATCCCATGTGTTATCGTAAGGTTTGATATATACATCATTGGTATTTAGTATAATTTATAAAATATAATATATTCTACAGTATTATTGTATTATTGTATTATTGGTCCACATTTTTGGAGAAATTGCTGCAAGAGATCAACAAATATATATTTATGATATACAGTATATCTATCCATTCATATATATATTCGCAACTCTTTATATAAACCGTTTAAATATTAATATAATTATAAATATATGGTAAATATAATATTCAAAATCTATTAAATGACGTAAAAATTTGGCAAAAAAGTCCACAAATGAGGGAATTGTAAGAAAAGTGGAAAAGGGTTAACATATGATTAAAAAGCAGTACAAGAATGTCCTCCACTTTGATGGCAGTGATCAGTGATGTAATGCTTAGCCATAAGTTCATAATTCTATGATAAGTATTGTTCCCTTCAATAGGTTTGAAAATATAAATTTAGACATAATATATATAAATCTCATATAAATTGCAAAATCGTATAAAACATATATTAATCCCATTTTCACAGACTGTCGGCCCCTTTCCCTTCGAGACGTTTATAAAAGTCGAGAACTAAGTCCTTGAAGTTGAGTGGATCCAAGTTCTTGGAAAGTAAGTCCAACAAAAACCAGTCGCCTATACGGCAATGATTCACCACATGGTTCAGTGCATCCCTGTTTGCAATACGACAGCGCGATTGTGTCGCCAAAAAGCGAACCCTCGGCACCACTATTGTGACGGCCCGGTAGGCAATGGCTATCACACTGATGATGGCCAGGATGTAGAACCAGAACCATAAGAATATGTATATCTTTTCGTTGACAATATTGATGGGAAGGATACACATGGCGTCGTGTTTCTGCACATCACCAGAAGACCCGAACCGATGGAAAGTACATTTGGTTAGACGTGGAAACACTTTGATCTGCAAACAAATACAACAATCTTAGCCATCACTGTCTGTCTGTCTGTCTGTCACTGTATGGCCATTAGACTCACCATTGGGTCGTATCTGACAGACCAGTCCCACTCTGAGAAGTTGATGACATCCCAGCCATAGTTAGTGAACTCTCCGCCTAAGAATCGGTCCATAATAACCATTTGGATGATAACGTTGAGTAGATTAAGCACTTCAGCGATGGTATACGTAATGAAGAGTGTGTTGTGATTATTGATGTTTTTGTAGAGGTATTCGACGAGAAGGGCTCGACTTTCGGTGCGTTTCTCTTCACTACAGACGGGAGAGTTGAGTCCGAGGATGAGGTTCTTGACGCGTCCGCCTTCCATGGCTTTCCAGAAATATCGCGGAACGTAAAAGAAGAGCGCCTGGAAGAAGAGCACGAAACACACCCACTGGTAGTACGCGTGATACACACGCTTCTCGTTGGGGGTAGTCTTGTCGACCCCCGGGTACGGCACCTCATCCCCCACCCGCTTCTTCCATGCGTTTTCAATGCTGAACGTCGTGTGAATCCAACAGTAAGTGTCTGAAGACAATGACAATTGACATCAATTCATGGCTTATATGGTGCATTACAAGCAATCTTTCAACTGTTGGACAGTTGAACAGGACATATGATAAGTGCTATTATAGACTAACATACAGTACAATACAATATTATGCAAATATGGGCGACACTCGAGAATTGAGTGCACTATAAGGAGAGTACACCATAAGTAGAAAGTATTATATTGTTTATACGAATAGTCATAAAATAGTGGAAAAGTGAAATAGTTGTGGACTATTGTCGGCAATCAAGTGAAGCACAAACTGTAAGCCATTAAAGCAATTATACCAAAAGTGCATTGCCTCCCATGTACTGTACTGTTAACTATAACAAACTAAAGTGTCAGGGTACAGTGGCTACAGTGGCTAAGATAGACTAGATATTATGTTTGTGACGAAGTATTGCTCAAATGGACTCATATTTTGGTGATAAGTTGGAGTCTTAACCACAGCTAATGTGTAGTGAGAGTGGAGACTAAGCCTACAGACCGAGCAGTTTCTCTGGGATGTCGTCCTTTGATATGCAGTCGATTGGGTCCCCGAAGTACTGACGACCTGAACAGACATCAACACATGAGACACGAGGCAGAGCACCGACACCTCACAGACATACCCGTCACCATTAGACTGAATGCCAATAGTATGACAACCGTTGCCTTGTAGTGGAGTCGGAAGATATGGTTGTCAGTGACCACTGAACTCGTCTTAATAAAACTTTTAAGACTTCCGAAGAACTGATCCATGGCTTCAGTTCACTCAACACACAACCAATCAATCAATTCAATACCTAAGATATGTAGATATAGACAGTAATAGTAATTATGATGAGTGAAGCAGTTATAATAAGTTACAAGTTTATAATACAGTAATAAATTTAGTATACACTATACAGTACTACTAATGTAAGCTATAACGGCATTCACAGTGCACTACAACAAGTACACTATAGACACATATAGTGAACGCACTGTACACTTATAGCCTACATATAATCATATAATATATAAAACGATCAAAATATCATACAAATTACAATCAGTGTCTGGAAGTGGTGTTAATCGGAATGGAGTTGAGTTGATGTCCCACTTGTTGCCTGTGTTGCCAACACTCCTATACTCTGGTGACGACTAACGCATACCAGTCCTACAGCACACCATTGCCTCTCTTACTGCCAACTGTTGCTCTCTCTCTCTCTCTCCCTCTCTCTCCCTATTCATTACACTATACAGAGTTTGGGGCCCATTATAATGACCAGTATTATATTAATACTGTATTAATAATAGTATTTTAATTTAATACGAAATTACTAGTTATACTGTATTCAAAATATAACCAATCACCTAATTTGAACTGCACTCAGATAAACATACATTTGATTTATTATAACATTATAACATTAAATTAGTGTAGTGTATGTTTAAATCGAAAGGATTAAATCCAAATTTTGTATTTTTATAGAAGTAAAAGTGTTATTTTTGTATTGTACAAGTAATCAATTATTACTAATAATGATGCTCAATTGGATTGAATATTGCTGTTATTATGGTAACTTTATAAGTATAGTTTTACAGAGGTTATTAGATCTACCTGTCAAAAGTTTTAGAAAATCTATTATTTACATTTAATATTTATGTCACAATTACAGAATTAACTATAATTTTGTATTTAACTAATATGTGTGCATTAACTTATTGAAAATTGAATACATAATTGTATGCCTTATATTAGAGTCCAAAGTTAGACCAATTTTTGAAACCGGACCCAAACCCTTACTGTTCTTTAACCGGGAAGCCCCACCCGCCCCGGCCTTCATGCCTCGAAACCCTTTGGAACTCGAAAAACCATAAAAATATATAACTATATAACTATAAAATTGCGGAAAGTTTAACATCAAATGAACATTTATTGAAATTTAACATTAAACCTACATTCATATAATGCTGTACAGTTTATAAAAATCATGATTAGATTTAATAAACCACAATTTATCGACATTGTGGGGTCGAGTTAAGAGAAAATATAAATACTGTTAGAAAAATATAAGGGTTTGGGCTTTTTAAGGGTTTTGATTTCTACAACGGGAAACCCTTTCCCGACCCGGCCTTTAATATTCAAACCCGTTCCCGTCCGAAACCCTTAGGGTTCGGGTATGAAAGGGTTTTTGTCCGACAATGGTTCCCAACTTCCTATTCTACCTTTATATCATATAACTGCAAGTTACTGTATTACATAAATATTCACCAAATAAATGCATCAACACCTTTTTTCATATCTCGTTTATTTAATAATCAAACTTTTTTTTATAGATTTCTAGTTATTTCACATTTAAAATATTGATTATTATTATTATATGAGTGATTTAAAATCAATTTTACGATCACTTTCATTTCAATATTCATATAATTTAAGGTCAAATGGTATTAATAGAGGATTATTCAATAATTTACATATTTATAAATAACATTTTATTCATATTTGATTAGTTAGCGAGAGTAGAATTAGTGGCATTGGTGTGACCGACATGTGCTCAAACCTGTTCTTATTAACCATGCAAAATTACGCGTAATTTATTTTTGGTGTAAAATTACGCGTAATTTTACGTAATATTACGTAATTTTACATTTTAGCGTAATTTATCAAAAATAAGCCAAAATAAACAAAATTTTTATTAAAATGACACATCAATGGAATCGCTATAAGAATCGGAGCTATAATTAGTTAAAATTCCAATTTCACTTGTTTCCTTGATCAGAATCAGAAGAATCTGATTATATTTCTTTAAAGTTTGAACTATCATATAAAAATAGCATGGAAACTAATTTTTACACGTTTATTATTCAATGTATTCCGGTCTTTAGTGTAAATTCTTGAATGCTATGAGAATATTATTTCAAGAGATGCCTTTTTTAACAAAATTATAAACAATATTATTTATTTTTCTGGAATTGAATTTTACTGTAATTGAAAGTTACGTAAAATAATTTTGACAGCGTAAATTACGCGTAAAATTACGTAATTTTACGCCGTAAATTACGATAAATTACGCTCCATGCAACCTTAATAAATATACATTAAATATTGGTTTATAATATTGGTTTTGTTAATAATATTTAAAATGGATTATAATATATAGATCTGATAAAGATATTAATACAATTATTATTACTAACATTATTTAACTTTGCAGTAAATATTAAATATAATAATCCTTAACATTGGATTTATTCATAAATAGTCCTCATTTCAAATTCAAATAAGAAAAACAAACTTTTTAATTAATGGATGAATATAAAACTATGTAAAGATTTTTGCTAAATAGCGTTTAGTGTATATAAAAATTTTATTAAACTTTTATAATTAATTATAATTTAATGTTTAATAAAAGTTTAATAAATATTTTATATTGTGAGCTCCTGTGGCTATCCGACTGATACCCAGCTCACGGTTACCGTAAATCAGCTAGTTTAATTAATTTTGAAAAGTTGTCCGCGTTTACCAAGATTATTATTAATAAATTAACTACAAATTATTGTAAATAGGCACTTTATTTTATAAATTCATTTTAAAATACAGTTTACAATTGATGTTATAGTGTGAGCACTGCTCATAGGATTGTTATGTAATGTAACATACAGTTGCTTATATAGTAAAATATTTGGCAATTCTTATACATTAAGTTATTTTTAAGACTGATGTGAAATCTAATATAAATCAACCAATTACAAAAGTGACAAAATGGCTATTTACAATGTATAAACAGACAAAATGATAGCTACAATTATTAATAATTTTGATTTATTTTATAAATGGCAATAAAAGTATTCAAAATGACAGACACTCTCATTAATTATGGGACTGTTTTACACTAATGACAGCATATTAATTGCCTGTCATATTTAGTTCCCTTACAATATACAGTAAACGCTATTAGTAAAAACCTACATGGTTTTCGGTTTACATAATATGTATATACTATATATTATATTTTATTCTGATAAGTAAGAAATATATTTTCGCAAAACATTTTGTTAAAATTATTAAATGTGTTTGTTTGACACATAATGTAGTTAATTATTACTAAAAATATTTGGTATTAAATCATATGACAATAGTTCTAAGAGTTTCATTATCTAAAGAAATGTTTAATTCACGTCTTATAAGTCATTTTATGAAGGCCTGTAATCGGTTACCATGTCCACGGTTTAAAAATGGACCTTGCTTGCTTAACCGATTTATCTGGCTCGTTATAGGCACCACTCTCACCACCCCTATAGCCATCATTCCCACTACCCTTATAAACGGGTGGCGACCGTTTATATTGTCGGGCGCTGTAATGAGTCTCTGTGTACGTGGACTGCATGCGGGCTTTCGATGCCGAACACAGATTCATATTATCCTGAATTTGTTTGCCGTTCTCCTTAAGCTTGTAGAGGGATTGGACCAGTTTATTGATATCATCAGGGCAAAGCACTGACACATGTTCACCGCTAGCCATCGATTGCTCCAATACTTTCACTTCTTCCGTATAGTTAGCCAGCATTGCCTCCAAACTGTTCAGTGTTTTATCATCACCACCAGCGGACACCTAGATTAGATTTTAGCATTTTATAATGTAAAAGCATAAAATTTTGAACTTAAACTATTTGTAAAGTATATTTGAGCATTATCAATTATTTAGTATAATTCAATATTTTTAAAATAAATACAATAATTGAGTACAAAAGGGAGGTTTTCGAGAGGGCCGCTCAGGAGGTGTTTCAAATTTGGGAATTTTATTGGGATGTGGGACTGATTAATATTATATATTTTGATCCCGCACAATCTGATTATCTCTGACCACATTGGTACGCAAAGTACTCTGGATGACTTCCACAATACACGGAAAAATCTTTAATTCACTGAATTAACGATTGAATATCTAATAAATATTAATTCATTTTATAATTTATTTGTTTGATACATTATAAATTAAAATTTTCTTTATTCAGTTAATTAATCATTTTAAAGTAAATTGTGCATGCTATTGAAAGCACATTGCGTACCGATGTGGTCAGAGATAATCAAAATGTGCGGGATCAAAATATATAATATTAATCAGTCCCACACCCAAATAAAATACTCAAATATGAGACGCCTCCTGAGCGGCCCTCTCGAAAACCTCCATTAATTTGGAAACATCGTCATGTATTAATAGGTGGCGTAAATATAATATTATTTATAAAATATTACCTACAATTTGCATTGATTAAATTTGGCCAATGCTTTTTAACTGGTCTAGTTAGCTTAGTTATTTTTGTATATGAGTAACATTAAAGAATTATTTATATTGTATGAATTCATATTCATGTATTTATAACTAATTGGTGACACATTGTTTGAAACCTTATAATTTTCTTCAATGGAAATTGAATTGGCGATCAATTTGTAAATTTAATGTTAATTCAAATATTGATTTAACTGCTATCAATGTTTAAACTGGATTAACAATAGGCAAGTTAAGCACGCTAGCCAAATATATTAAATGAAATTTGTAGATAATATTGTATAATTTTATTTCTCAAGAATTATATTTACGCCAACTAGTGATATCACGGTTTTTTCATTAGTTTTAATACCTTGTCCTTTTCCTGTCTAATGAGCACCGTCAGATAATCCTTAAGCGAGTCGTTATAAGAACTGATTGCATTCATTTTGAGGAAACTGCCCAACTTGACGGCCACGGATCGGATCTCTTCCTCTTCCTGTTTCAAAGCGTTCACCTTATTTGTCTGAACGTTCTTGCTAATGTCAGCCATTGGTTTTGTTAAACTCAAAATGACCTTGCGCGCGTCATTCAGCGATAAAGTGTCCCGGGTGTTGTGCGGCTTTAGGCCGTCGATGTGTTCGAACAGTCGATTTGTTTCGGCCACCGACTTGTCCCACGAGACCGAAAAATTATGTTTATCATCTTGCTCAAATTTAATACCTTGTTAAAAAATTAAACAACGTTTCATTTTCACAGTCCTAATTACAAACAACTAGGCAATATGTTTAAAAATAGTTTCCATACCATTATGAATAGCACACAGAAATCTAAACGACTCGTTGTCCATACAATATATCGTATGCTTCGACAGCTCTATATTAACGTCTTTATTCTCATTCAGAAGCATTGTTAGCGCCGGCAGTGTATCACCCGGTCTATGGATAGAGTGATTAATATATCATAGTAACAAATAATTTTAATTATAGTAATAAACTTGAAATTGACGGGTTCGGGTCTATTGACCTAAAAACCAATTGACCTAAACTTAAATAACTTGACCTCCAGGTAGGTAAATATACATGATGACCAGTGTAAAATGTTCCCCTTGACCTAACCTAACCTTATAATGGTCACAAGTCTATTGGTCATTAAGTTATTTACGTTTAGGTCAATTGGTTTTTAGGTCAATTTGCCAGTTCCCAAATTGACTCATATAAACAAAGATTTTAAGCAATGCTCATGAAATGTTTATAATACAGTGATACATTGATACTCATATTAAAGCGGAGTTGAAGGACTACATTTGATAAATATAATCTGATATTAACTCTAAATGGGGAACCTCGTTAGGTGTCAGCAAACTGTGCCAGGATAATCTGCATTAACATAAACTCAATGATCATATCTACCATTTGAATTGATCAAACTTTCCGAATATCACCAACTAATCCCGTAAATCCACTTATAGTCACTGGTGACATGCACATTTTACATATAAAATAACATTATAAATATGGATGGCTATTCAATCATACAGTAATATTTTTATATGAATTCATAGACTTATATTTTTTGTAAATATAATCACAATTTGTATTAAAATCTGTCGGATAATTGGGGTCAAAGTATTGGTGAAGTTATATGGATGGCTATTCAATCATACAGTAATATTTTTATATGAATTCATAGACTTATATTTTTTGTAAATATAATCACAATTTGTATTAAAATCTGTCGGATAATTGCGGTCAAAGTATTGGTGAAGTGCCGTTTATATTTATAATGCTATTTAATATGTAAAATGTGCATGTCACCAGTGACTAGTTGGTGGTATTCGGAAAGTTTAATCAATTAAAATGGTAGATATGATCATAGAGTTTATGTTATTGCAGATTATCCTGGCACAATTTGCTGACACCTAACGAGGTTCCCCATTAAGTTTTGAATTTTGAATTAAAAGAATTAAAACGCATTAATCCCATAAAACGGAACCCTGGTTACCCTACCTATAAAACGTGCTACGTGCATTAGTGAAGCAAAACACGATGTTGTTGCTTGCACTTTTGTGCAAATGTGTCAACAACTCTTTGACGTAGAACTGGAACATAACAGTGAGTCGGGTGTTGTTGGGCTTCAAAAGTATGCATATGCCGTGCAACTCATCCAGGTTTGAGATGTAGCCCAATATGGCGTCGAAGTTCTCTTTGTCCTGTTCGAGGCCACGCGTGTCACCAATGCCAGGCGTATCAATAAATCTAACGCGTTGTTTACCTTGATTAATGGAGCAGCGAATTTTGAAATTTAAGTTAATTAGCATGTAGAATAGAAATGAATAGGATTGACAATAACTGACCCAAATCCAATACATAGGCTTTTGGTTTTTGAGTAGCCCACTGTCCGGCAGCCATTACCTCATTCTTATCGTCGCCAATCTTAATTTCAACTTGCTTATAGTTTTCATCGGTAATTATGAATGATGACGCTATTGGACTCAGCGATTTATTCTGCTCGGCATCATCCAGTGACTTAAATGTCATGTAATTGACCAGGCCATTTATCCAGGTGGACTTACCCACGCCAATTTCGCCCAAAATCAATATATTCATCTCTTTCATTGGTCGCAATTTTTCTAATAGTTTTGCCAAATCATTATCTATTAATTTGACATGGATCAATGTTGTGTTAAAATATTGCAAACCTTTAAAATATATTTTAAATATACTATTTTTATATTTAAATTTCAAGATTTCAAAATTTATAATATAAATTATTGTATTATTAACAAATTTACCTGTGAAACTTAAGAAATCACCACCGTGCTTATCACTGTTACATTTATACTGGTAAGATTTACTTGACGCTTTACCGCATGCACAATAAAAGTGGCCATCGAAACCATGCTCAATTAGTTCGTCGCATTTGTAACAGTGCCAGGTATGTTCATCCTTTGAATCACAATAGCCTGATAATGAGCCAGGACATCGTATCTCCAAAATGACACGCTTGTTGGGCTTATGTACTACTAAATGAACCGGCTCAGTTGGCTTAATCAAACACCGGTCATAATTGGTAATATAATCGAGCAATATGTTTTTATCCTGGTCCATGTTTGATAGCGTTTTGATGAGCTATTACTGATATTAGCAGTATGAATTTACATGTGAAATTATAAGTTATTAATAATATTTATTGAATATTTAAAATATTATTTTAAAATAAAAATCAAAAAGTAAAATAACTGATAAATAAAGAATATGAGCTAACAATGCAAGAACGGCAAGTGTTTCCGCTAATTGCAATTAAAACAGCGTGAATTATAGTCGTTTGATATGATATAATAAAACTATCCAGGTAATCTAGCGGAATGTCTTAGGTGTCCAAATCAGTGATTATATTAAAGACGTGCTTTAAAATTTCTATTCATTTTTGATATAAAATCCTATTCAACTATTCATACTATACGAGTCAGAGTTACAATACTAGGAATGAATGTATTTTAATGCAAAAATGTATAGAGTTTTAATAGCGCGTCCCTAATATAATCACCGATTTGGTCACCTAAGACATTCCGCTAGATTACCGGACCTGGATATTCTTATTACACCAAACCATACGAGTATAATTCACTCCGTTTTAATTGCAATTAGCTGAAACAATTGCCGTTCTTGCATTGTAAGTTTAATTAATTTTTTTATATATTATTATTTTGTTCTTATTAATTTAAGTAGATACACTACAAATTATTAAAGTAAATTATAAAAATCTGCGTATAATAAAACACTAAAATTAATATTATAATTAATTATTGTTTTAAAATATATAAACTACAAATTACATACCAAAGTTTTAACATGAAATAGACATAGACTGCAGCAATTATATCTGATATGATTAGTTTGAATTAAAATAATTTCATTTGGCATACATTTAGTAGTTATTTGTAATTCAATTGATATTTATTTTTGTTATGACTGAATATTTTATCTAACATTATATATAAATTTATATATAATGTTATTTAGCATATGTGTTGCTATGCATAATTCAACATTTGGAAAGACAAGACATAAATATTAAGCAATATCATCTCTGTAATCTCAAGTAATGTTAGTATTTGAGAATGGCAAAAATTATGACCACATGATATTGATATTAAGTGCTTATGATACTTAATAATTTTTAGCTTATATTTAATATAAAATATTATAAGTGAAATTAGTATGTGCATTGAATTTATATTAATATATTTATTCACGAATGTAATAAAAATAGCCTTGTACTGTTGAACTCATAAAATACAAACAAATACTAATTTCAGAGTGAAATTTTCACTTAAAGTTTTTATATATTTTTTTATATTATATATTTCCAGTCTACAAGGTTATTGAGTTATTATTACATTCCAGAATAAATATAGTAATATAAAAAGCATTAGTGTGTGTGTATATGTGAAATTATTAAAATATATCAGTAAAATTATTAAACATTGATTAATAATTTTATAAACTAAATAAAAATTAATTTAAACAATTTAACGATGTAAGTAATTTAAATAATATTTCATTATATTTATATATTTATAATTAGGTCAAAAAAATATTTTTAAACTAGAATTATATGAAAATTTTAAAATGTTAAATTGCCCAAATATTTTATACAATAACAAACTGATCTTTAGTAAATTGCAGATAATTTCATGGTTTAATTAGCAATGCTTAGTTGTTAGATAAATCTATAAATTTATAATAATAATTGGAATTTTTAATTAACATTATTATTTTATATGTTATTATATTATTATTTTATAATATATAATAATGCTTAATGTGTTTAATAGATTGTTATAATAATAATAATGTCCAATAAAATAAAGTTCAAAAATTCTAACTTAAAACAACTAGATAGATGCTTGGTAATTTATTCCCAATCAATTGAACACATTGATACAAAACCCGATGAAATGGTTATATTGGAACTTAGCTGTCCCGGCTCAAGTCGTGGCTTTGCCGTACGTACATGCGTACGTAACTATTGTGTTAATACCAAGCACATTTGGTTTTGCGATATTTGCAATGCTATGATTGAGTACGATTTAAATGGCTATTTGTATTGCGATTGTGGTCGGGGTGAAATTTATAGTTACAAATTTAAATGCAACAACGATGCCCATGGCAACGAATATTTAAAATTTGCACATGATCAATTGCAACAGATATTAGCTAACATACGACCAATTAAAGAGTTGAACATGCTCGTTTTAGGCGAGACCGGTGTTGGCAAATCTACTTGGCTTAATGCTTTAGCTAATTACGCAACATTTAAATCACTGAATGATGCAAAAAGCAATAGACCATTAATATTGATACCGGCTCAATTTTCGATAGTTGGCAATAGTTTTAAAGGGCGTATAGTAAAATGTGGTCATAATAACCACGATGACAATGAGACGCAAACAACTGGTCAATCGGCAACCCAAGTGCCAAAAGCATACACTATTAAATATGGTTTGACCATGCTTACTAACATACAGTAACTTTAATGATATTATAAATTATAATTTATAATGTTTTATATTTATAGGCAAATCTCTGATTAGACTAATCGACACGCCTGGCATTGGTGACACCAGGGGTATCGAGCAGGACATGATCAATTTTGACGCCATATTTGAATTTATCAAGAATTTTGGTGAAATGCACGCCATTTTGATACTATTGCGTCCAAATCAGGCCCGACTGACAGCGATGTTTGAGTATAGCGTTCGTGAGCTGTTGTCCCGATTACATCGCAATGCTATTAACAATATAGTGTTTTGCTTTACAAATGCCCGTGGTACATTTTATAGACCTGGTGATACTTTACCGGCGCTGAGGACCCTGCTTAATGAACACAACGACGCAAATGTATTGCTAACTAAACATACGATGTATTGTATGGACAGTGAATCGTTTAGATTTTTATGCGCACTTCATAATGGTATATTACATTATTCATTATATCTTGGTTAAATTATTATAATTTAATCATATTTAAATATAAGTTAAATATATTTATTTGCTATGTTTCTAGGTCTTAAATTTGATCACGATGAAATACGATCGTTTGAGGTTAGTTGGGACAAATCCGTTGCCGAAATTACTAGAATGTTCAAGCACATAAAACACCTAGATGCATTCCCTACTAATAAAACGATCACCCTAAATGAAACCAAAAAACTTATGCAGTGTTGCATAAAACCTGTTGTCAATATTTCCAAAAATATTGAGACCAATAGTACACTCATTGGAGATAAAATCAATGAAATTAAAAATAAGGACCAAGATTCAATGGCATTAATCAATAAAACAGTTAGTTTTCAACAAGTCGAAACACACCAGCTGGATACACCTACAACAGTTTGCGTGGCGACCAGTTGTGTGCAATATTACACATGTCTAAAAACGGGCGTCGCGCAAATTAACTACCATACTCGGTGCCATATTAATTGTACATGTGCAAATGGTGTTCCCGAAAACTGTTATCCATTACCAGAGCTCCAACGCTGTGTTTGCATGAATGCGGACTATATATGCACTAACTGTGGTTGCAATTGGGATAAGCACATGCATATATATTATGAATGTGTCGTAACAAATGCAAATGTGCTTGATGAATCTACAAAAACCTTACTCGAATTGGCAGATGATAATAAGGAAAAGGCTAATTTATTTGTAAATGATCTTAAGAGTAGAGTAAATGAGTATACAAATGAATATGATCAAGTACAGAGGGTAACAATAAAATTTGGAATATATCTTCAAACCAATGCAATAATTCCTTATAATAATAAACGTAAGGATTATATTGAGCTGTTAATCAAACGCGAAAAGGAAATGGTACAATTTTTTAAAATAAAATATATAACATATAGCTGGTATATTAATTTATCAAATCTAATTTTAAGTTTATAAAATCTATACTAATAATTATTATATAACGATATTATATTAAATTTGTCTAACAATAAAGGTTTTATTATTTATTTTTTACATCAAGGTAACCAATGGCGGAGATGATAACTCATTAATTAAATTGGAAGCTATGTTATCAATGTGTACAGAAGAGGCGCGTATACTACAAAATTGTATGAGCAAGCAACATGTGTGCCATGAAATAGTACCTGATGAGATGAGAGAATTAATTGCTACACTAAATTCATTGCCCATTATCGGTAGACAAATACAGGATAGTCTAGATTCTGTGACAGTCAGGCCACTAACAAGCGCAATATATAAGGAAACACATTATATTAAAGGAAATTTGCAAACTGTTCAGGGTAGAAAAGGAAGATGTTCCACAATTAAGGCTCGTAAATGGTGGTATTGGTAGTAATAAAGCTGTTAGCCTTGCGGGGCACGAGGGGTCGTGTCAACACTACACGTATGGCTGTCCTTCTCGTTACCCCCGACACAATGGCTGTCAGTCCTGTTATCTGTCCATCGAAATGAAAATTATTATTAATATTATAATAAATAGAAATTAAATATTGTATGTATTCAATGAGAAAGTTTAAAACTGTTTACGGATAGGTAGGATCAGGAGATTTTTTATCAATTAATAATGATTACTCCCATAGCTATAGTATAGCTTTAATTAAATTTATATATTAAACTAGTTCATAATAAATTTTAATACATTTTAACTATAACTGTGAATTTTGTGGGCCACCGTTTCTTAAATTTGAACGCGTTTTATAGGCCTCACGTAAGGCTTTCCTAAAGCTATGCACGGCGGGTGTGTCTCATAAATAGGGTCGAGTCGTGTATTGCCGTAATTTGAGCCAAAATGATGGCATCGGCGGACATAATACAGACTCAAGATCTTTGAGCGTCTTCTCCCGTTTGATGATATACTGGATTAAAGAGATTAATGTTTTTATAAATATTATAATAAATAGATATTAAAATTGTATGCATTGAGTGAGAAAGTTTATAACTTTTTATGGATAAGTAGGATCAGGGCATTTTCTATTTATTGAAAATGATTGCCCCAATATGGCAACACAGTAGTAGTTTTAATTAAAATATATCAAAATATTTTTCACATAATAAACCTTAAAACATATGTGAGTCTGTCAGTAAGAAACGGTTTTGTTTTTTAACATTATGACTGTAATTCATAACTTTTGTATAAAACTTCATTGCATATGTTGTGAAAATGTTCATGTATTATGAATTACAGTCATAATGTTAAAAAACAAAACCGTTTCTTACTGACAGACACACATATATACTATTAATAATGTATTAAATTATTAGACAATACCTTTTACGATCAGATTGTTAGTAAATATTGATGAGGGCACACAGTTTATTGCGTTATAATTGATCATTATTATTTTATATAAAAATAGTTTTAACGTTGTAAATTTTTAAAATGACATTAAAATCAAATGTGGTATGAGTTGGAGCAAATGCAATTAATTATGTAATTAAAAATTATTTAATAAAAATAATGAATATTATTTTGTCTGATAGTAATATCAAATGGTATAAACTTTACAAACAATTTATTGATTCATACATTCAGTGATCGTTCACTCAATTGTCGCTCCGATTGACCACCGATTGCATAATAACTGAAGACATCAGTGGTAGCAGTGATAGTGGTGTGCAATAGTGACTGTGGTGTAACCCTATGTGTGGACCCATTGTGTGATAACCGCCGAATACTATACCCGATGGTGTTTCGTCTGCTTCCACGTCTACTCCGACTCTTAGGAGGGCAGAGGATAACGACACCGGTTTTGGCCATCATTTTGTTGGTCGTCGTGATTGTCTTCTTAATCACTGTCTTGCCATCACATGACATACATTCCTCGTCAGCGGATACTCGCGACAGCGGCGGATCCGCTCAGAGTTGGCATCAGAGCGCTGTCGGCGCCAATGATAGCGAACAAGTGGTCAGACATGACGTCAAAGAAGTGTGCAATAGTTTGCCTCAATTTAGGGATCAAATGCTCGGCAACTTCGAGGACGCGGTGGTGGATGGGAACGCCCACCCGGACGGTGGTGGGGCCCGACCGGGAGATAATGGACATAAGTATCTGCTGGAGGGGGAGGGCATCGACTGGAATGAGGTGAACGCCAAGAAGAAGGAGTACGGCATGAATATCGTGGCCTCTGATCACATACCGATGGATAGGTCGGTGCCCGACCTGAGACACGACGAGTGCAAGTACTGGCACTACGCGACACAACTGTCCACCGCCAGTGGTGATAGTCTTCCATAACGAGGGGTTCACCACTTTGTTGCGAACTGTTCACTCAGTGCTGTTGCGGTCGCCCAAGAGGTTCCTCCGGGAGGTACTACTTGTGGACGACTTTAGTGATAAGGAACCACTCAAAGGACAACTCGACGACTATATTATGGATCACTTCGGGGCGTTCGACCAGAACTGGTCCGCAAATAAGATAAACGCCGCAGACTTGAGCGGTGAGACACTGAGTGATAGGTCCGGGAAAGTGAGACTCATTCGCAACAGCGAGAGGTCGGGACTAATTCGGAGTCGTGCCAAAGGCACTGAGGAGGCGCTGGAGAAGTGATTGTCTTTCTGGGCGCCCACTGCGAGGTTAACACCAATTGGTTGGTCCCACTGTTGGCGCCCATCGCTCACGACAGCAAAACGATGACCTGTCCTATCATTGATGGCATCGACTCCAACCACTTCCAGTACAGACCCGTGTATAGGCGAAACGATCAACACTTCCGCGGCATTTGGGAGTGGGGTATGTCTGGCTACCAGTGCTATCACTAGTGTATTACCGGTACTATAAATGTGTAAACTATAGCACAGATTCTTTTGTATTGATAGGAATGCTATACAAAGAGATTGAATTAGATATGAAAAACCACACGAAAACCCACAGAGTGTCGGAGCCGTACGACTCGCCCACACACGCGGGCGGACTGTTTGCCATTAGCAGCAAGTTTTTCCTGGAGTTAGGCGGCTATGACTCTGTGGCAATGCGGGGGTCGCCTACAATGGGTGCCCTGTTCTCGCGTGGGACACATATACCGTCACAGGCCCTACACGTCCGGCTCAATGGCTAACCAGCGAAAGGGGCCGTTAGTTCTCACTAACTATAAGCGAGTCATCGAAGTCTGGTTCGACGACCCCTACAAACAGTATTTCTACGCCCGACAGCCTATGGCCCAGTACTACGACGCCGGGGATATATCCAAACAAATGGAGCTTAAAGTAAGGCTTTCCCTGTCATCCTAACGATCTGATTGTATTTCATGTCTAAACCCTATTACAGGAACGCCTACAATGCAAATCTTTCGATTGGTTTGTCAAAAACCACGCAATGGATGTGTTTCGACACTTCCCGCGACTCCCGGATAACGTGGTTTGGGGTGAAGTACGTCTGGAGCGGACGCACACATGTCTGGACTACGGGGGCTCTCGTCCGCCGTCCACTGTGTCGTTGTCTCGCTGTCACGGACGCGGAGGCAACCAATTGTTGCGTTTGAACCAAAGGGGTCAACTGGAAGTCGGGGAACGGTGTGTCGACGCCAATAGGGATAAAATGACACTTATTTACTGCAAATTGGGAAAAGTAGACGGCTCCTGGAGTTACGATAAGCACACCAAACAAATGAAGTATAAGCGTAAACGTAAGAGTCTGTGCCTGGCCTGGGAGGGCGACCAAGGGAAGGTGCACCTGACTGAGTGCCGCACCGGCGACCGGTCGCAGCGCTGGATTTGGAAGCGACTAAAGCCCCGGCTCTGAGCCCTCAGTCATTACAATAGCTCTTAAATTAATGCCTTTTTTACTATCAATTCTCACATCATATCGTCTCTTATGTCATAACAAACAAAAGATCGGTTTTTATATATTTTTTGATTTCTATTAAAAGTATTTATTTATACATAATTTGTTTATCCGATTAGGATTTATTGGGTTTATATGAGATTTCATTTTTCTTTTTAAAAATATTTAGACTCAAATAATCTTAATAAAAAGTTTTTCATTCAATTTAAAATTAATAAAGTAATGGAGTGGATGATGGTATCAGTTGGTGCTCACGAAGGTCTACCACTGAACCACTCAAACCACACATATAAGATATAAGATATAAATAAATCAATAGTTCATGAATTTATATTAAAATTATATGTAACTAATATTGACGAGTGAATGAAAGGTATGCCATAGTATATCATTTCAATTAGAGTACAATTCTTGAGGTACGGAATCGACCAGAATATTGCCGCTATTATGATATTCTTATCGGTAATAAAATGACATATTTTAAATATTTTTCGAGATTTAATAGCAAACTTTAAAATAAATTCGCAATCTGTAAGTCCAATATCTGCTGGACATACACCACCGGATAACATATCAAATATAGTCATAAATGTTGGGAATACACCGTTTATTAGTATAGAAAAACATGAGACAATTCGCATGAGTTAATAATACCAGAAATATGAGCACTAAATCAAAATGTTTTTCAATGTTCATGAGATGTGGGAAGTCTCCAAACATTATGAATATTAATCGCCAGTCTTTTGGTGATACAAATGTGACCACAGTTTTCA